AAAAGTGCCATGCCAAATAATTTCTTTTAGAGAAACAGTCTAAGAAATATCTAACCTTGCTTTAAAGCATGCAACAAAATGTTAAGCAATGCTTTTGTAGATTGCCCAAAGGAGGGAAATGGTTCAAAGCATCTGAAAAATCTTTAATGAGATTAAAACTACATTTTGTTGAATGCCCATTTTACATTTTATTTATAGCAACTAAAGACTACATACAACATTTGATTTAATTAATACAAAAACATAACAATCTATTTTGCATTGAAGGAACTAGTGAATAAAACTGGTATACATGTGTAAATTATATTTCATATAATTATCTATGTTTAGGTATTCTTTGAATTTCTATTCTGTGCTTGTAAATTATGTTTCATTACTTTGGTATTATCATATATATAAATGCAAATAGCACGGGGTTATATTTTATTATTGTTGGTTTTGTAAACGATCCTGGAATTTAATTTTTCTACTTAGATTAATAAATCAGGTTATTCGAAAGCAAACTTATACATGTAACTGGCTTGTCAACTTTTTAAATTGAGTTTGTGCATCTCCATATGCTCCATAAGTTTTACTATGCTTCTAAAGCCCAATAACATTTTAGCTCATAATTCATAGCCTAGATTGGTGCTTTATTAACAAACTAGCTCCTATGACATCAGAATATTTCTTAAAGTTTGTTTATTGCAGGCCTTTCTTCATAATAATCTCAATAAATATAGCATTAATTACACTGTACAACAATTTTAAGCTTTTGAAAAAATACAAAGATCAAATATGATTATCTTTATTAAATCAAATGTGCTGATTATGAATCTTATTAATCAGACACCATTGGAATTGGTTGTAAGTAGCATTATAAATATTGATAATTGAAAGAAACAGTGATTTTTGTATCAGATTTTGTTGTTTAAATTTTAATTAAAAGTAAACTTACTTCAATTTAATAAAAGGATATTGATGTTTAGACTTTAAAAAATCTTTCTTATTTAAATTTAGTCAAAGTTTTCATAAAAAAAAATTAAAACCTTGTTCTTGAAAAACAAATTAATACAGAGAACATTTTGCACATACAAGAAATATAACATATTGGTTCATTTATTAAAAATTCATCTTATTAATATAATATATTAGTCTTATCATAGTATAAGTCTTATACATTCAATTCACAGAATCATTTTTTGTCTCATATTAAAGAAAAGATTATTAAATTGAAATAGTTCAACTAGCTAGATAATAAGTTGGCATAGTTAGTGTAAACTTTAAAATAGTAAATTATAGGAAATCAGTCACACTTTTTTATACTTTATTTTATAGTTTTTTTTACTATACTTTATTATAGATTACTAACTTTGGTAAAGAAAGATATTTAATATAAACAAATAAATAATAAATAAATAAAATTAATAAATAGATAAGCTAGAATAAATTGCAAATGTCAAACCAAAAACTTGTTTTTGTGGTCGTATAGGTACTGGTACTTGTGATTGATTGGTTTTTTATTGGAAGCAGATTTTTAAATCTTTTAAAATTTAAATGTAATGTGTAATCGTAATGCGTAATCAATCAAATATTTTTTAATTAAATGTAAAACTAATAATTGACAGAAGTGTAAATTACTTAAATAATGAAGGGCGTACCTCACGTGAACGAACTAGCCATCATGCTAAGTTAAATCAATGAGCTCAGCACCTTCCGAGTTTTTATAACGCATTTTATTATTAAATAAAAGATGCAATTGTTAATTATTTTACATTGAAGCAAATCAACATAACGGCACTGGAGCAGGGTAGATGTTGCTGAAGAACAATGATAACTAAATGATAAACAAACGAAAATTTATTTAATAAATTTAAATTTCTTTGATTAGATAAAGAACATAATACAAGATATATAAAAATTTGTTACAACTCAACGTCCAGAAATTTTAAAATTTGTTCCTGTGTTAACAAATAATTTTGAATATCAATTTGCATCATCTGTCAAAGTAGTTTGTAAAGCAAGTGGCACATCTGATATTATGGACGATAAACACCAACAAAATTTTCTGTCAAAATATTACTCCTCTTCACCTTGACAACCAATTCCAGTCAGACAAAGCTAACTGAATCATATATTTAAAAATTAAAATAATAAATACCCAAAGGTACAAAACTGTTTTTACTTTCAAATCTCGCATTATTACTCTATTTAGAACATGCAACCGCAACAACATTATTTCGTCTTTCCACTCCGTCAGACTTGACTGACTTGACCAGTTAATATTCGTTTAATAATATCCTTTTGGCTTACCTTTATCTTTTAATCTATATCAGTCTGTCAAAACATCAACCCTCCTCGTCAACATACTCAGAAAATTCGTTATGTTTAATCGAGTTGTATTGTTAGCTAGTTTGTAATAAATCGCTTTCTCTTGCGAAATGAACTAGCAATTACGTCGCAATTGTTGAGAAGTTTTAATGTTAATGAAATGAACCAAAATTATAAATTAACATGACAATTGGTTATCTTTTATTCATCTTTTATTCTTTTCGATCAAATCACACAGATTAATATGAATTCTTTCAACCTCTTCTAGCTAACGAACTAAAATAACCCACTCACCCTAACTAACTTATATCTGCAGACTATAATTTTCCTCCTTTAATGCCTTAGAGTTGCTAAAGCATGGTGCTGCCAAACATTGTTATTCCCCAATATAGATCAAGTAACACCAACAATGGAAATTTTTTTTATTATTTCATCCTGTAGACCAAAAAATAAAAAGTAAAATGAAAGTATAAAAATAAATGAAATAATTCAATTTAGATTAAAATAATATAGTGTTTAAAACAAAATATTTGAATAACTAGTCATCAATGCTCCTGAGTAATCATGAGATAGTGTAGCGTGGAAAGTTGGTATAGATATGCATTCTTTTTTTCGCAGTGTGTTAACATGACAATTAGTTAAGCTATTACGTAAATTGTCGATTCTTCTCATTTTGAAGATAAGAGTTGTAGAAAAAAACCTATAAAACAAGCGATACTTCGAAACGATAAAACTTTTAAAATCATTGACAAAGTAGTTTTTTTAAATTACGTTATATTTATTGACTTTATAGAAATTGTATTATTTGTTTCATGGCGGATCGTTAGTAATTTCATTTTGTATTTGTAATTGTAACTGAGAATGGTGATGTCTGGTTTTATCTATTTGAGCAGATTTAACACTAGTCGTATCGCATTGTTTTTATAACTTTTTAGGCTATGCCTATGTTGTTTTTCCATTAGAAAAACCATTTTGTTGTGATGATACCAATATCAAGTACTTAAAATTAATTAACTTGGTTCAGAACAAAGCTCTGTTACTTGTTAATAAGCATGCACTTTGTCAACATTTCATTTATAGTTAGCAGTTAAATTATATATTTTTTTTGTAAAATGAAATTGAACAAAGGATAATTTTTCTGTCAACCTGGATCATCGTGTAATCGGCAGTGTCTCAACGAAAATGATTGAATTAAGTTTGGCTCTGTTCTGAAGTTTCTTTAAGATTTTTAGTGATTATTTAATTTAACGTTTTCAGGAATGAGAATGTCAACTTTCTCAGAACATTACACAAATGTTACTTTAAGGATTTTATTTTTAGGTTAGAATAGATAACAGTTTTTTTTCAAAATTTGTGTATGGCGTTTCAACAATTTTTTATTGAGGCTGCAAGGTTTATACAATAACCAGTAACGTGATAACTTTAGTCACAGCTACTTATGGACTAACATAACCAGTCCGTTATAGCCTTTGTTAGTAGGTGATGCAGAGTATTTTTTTATCCAGGTTGAGGTTAGTAGGGCGTCATGAATTAAAATGTTATTTGTGAATAAACTAAGTGTCTTGTTTTCTAAAGCTTTCGTTGAACAAGTATCAATCAAGTTGTCAACTGTTTGTATCCAAACAAGAGTATTATCAAAGCGGTAAAAACAAATGTTTGTCGATTAAATTTTTAGTAAATCATGATTGTCAAAAACTAAACTTGATTTTGATTATGCCCAGTAATACATGCACAACTCACCGGAAGAACAATTACTAAGACGGTCAGTGTTTAAATCTATAGATAATATCATTTTAAAGCTTTTTATTTTACTGTTTATTTTGCCCTAACGTATTCTTTGTATTATAAATTCTACTGGAGCAAAAACAGCGTTTACATTACGCATCTTTTATAAATGCTGCAAAGAGCCTTAAAGTATAAAAATTTACAGCAGTAAAACACCAAATTGTGATGCAAACGCTTCTACTCTTAACCGATTGTTTTACTTTTTACTTTTTTACAATTCCTGTCAAACACTTTTATGTTAAATGTGCTTTTGCTTTTTTCAGCCCTTTTGTCTGTAACTCTCTTATTTGTTCATTAATTATTTTTCCATCACTTACAAATTCAGGGAGGAGGGCTCTTGAACGTTTTGGAAATGGTGCCTTAAAGATAAATTGATTGATTTTTGAAATCAAGAAGCATAGATAAATTCCGTAATTCAATACATTGTACAACTCTTTTTTTTACATTGCCCTTAATGTAGCATAGCCATTAATGATTGCGAATGTTTAATTTATCGACACAACTATTTTATTTTTATCAGTTAAATTTTGAATATTTTTATTAATAGTTTACATGCATTAAACTATGAAACTATTAAATCTGGACAAATTGTTTGTTGTAGAACGTTTGAACACTTTAACTTCAAAATTAACAACACTCTGGCGTTTTATTATAATTTAACTTTGGATACTCATCAATCCGTTAATTTTTTTTATATATCTGTAGATTAAACACTCACTCATCTCAAACACTCGTACGTGAGTGATGTGATCTTTTTGGTTTATGTTAATGGAATCACTTATAAAAATTTGTAGGTATGTAATAATATATTCACATGCATACATTACATGTTCATTTGTATATGTTTGTGTGCGTAAATTAGAATAAATGTAAATAAACTAAGCGCACATTCTAAGTGGCGAATAATGAGTGCTAGTAACCGCTCACGCAATTTAACTGACAGCCGTGCTATGCTAAATATATCGTTGGGCATAGTTATCAACATACAACAGAACAGGCATCGCACAGGTGGGCTGCTCTTAATTTCCCACCGTCATTCTCAACCGAACGAACGCTCAAGCAAATGTTTAGATTTAAAAAAGATAAAATAAATGATCTAAAAACACTTAAAAGACGGATATATGAATTCAGAATGGTGTAGCAGAACAGATGAAGATGACGACGATGATGAAAGCAATACATACGATAGCGACGAGGACGATTGTAAGCGGTTTATAGATGAGATGCTCCATCGTGAACAAAATATAACACCAATACCTGCTCCTCGATATTTATCACAGCAGAAACAAGAACAAATTTCTCAGAATGAAAATGAGCAGCAGAACCAGCAAAAAAGTGTGCAACCTCAACAACGCAAGTTACAACAAACAGACTCTTCTAAACTCTGGCGCCGTAAAAATTTTGCAGATTCAAATAACTTTTCCATCTCGGAAGTCGTTGATGTTCCAGATGACGGCATTTTAATAAAAACAGTTAGTGCAGGTTTGAACAGCAAACCTCAACCGTTTAATGAAACATCGGAATATTTGTCAATTGACAGTTTGTCACAATTATTCTACCCAAGTACGTATCTGACAAGTTTGTTTGGACAGGATATTGTGTGTGGCTACGTTTGTGTATGGTAAATGCTGTGCTGGATGAGCTCCTTAGTGAACTCGAGCCTTCTTATTATTAATTTGGTTTTCTTGATTAATTTTGAGGAGCAAATAATAAATTGTTATTGTTAAATATGTGACTGAGTTTAGTTACTTATAATGCTGAACGAATTTTGAAACTCGCTTATTTTTGTGCACACAGCAGAAGAAATAGTTGGAACAGTTGTTTCTCTTGGGATCAACGTTAAATCTTTGAAAAATGGCGATAAGGTTTTGTTGATGGCAACAATGGGATGTAAAAATTGCGAGTTTTGTTCTGCTTTTGAAAATGTCCACATGTGTGAAAAACAAACTTTTTCTTTCATTAGTTTGGACGACCTGAACAACTACAAATGCGATTCTGTCGTTGTTGGTGAACTGTACTTGGTGTACGATTGGCAATGTGCAGTGAAACTTCCTAGCAAGGTTTTATAAATTATTAACACAACAATTCATATTAACATATAATTTTCATTCAATTTTTCTCTACAGATTCCAGATGAAATTGGTTGCTTGTTAGGTGGAAGGGTTCTGCAATTGTACGAGATCATTAAACGGTCGCAGCAATTCTTAGAAGAGTCAATAAGACGCAAAGGTTTCGCAAATTTCTTGTGGCTGTTGTTCGAAGACTCGGAAACTTCTTCACTTTCCTCAGCAGTTGCGTCATCGTCGCCGTCATCGTTAACAGCATCAACAATGCAAATAATGCACATATGGTGTATGTTTTTGATTAAACAAGTTTTCTGCAATGACAACATCAAATTCACGTGTGCCAGCAACTTGGTTTCTGTTATAAAAATGGCCGGTCAATGTGGTTTCGATGACGTCATAGAATTGGACTGTAAGATGTCCGATGATGAGGTCGTTCGAAGGATAACAATGGACGGATGCAACAAGATGGACATGGCGATCGTGGTGGATGGTCCCGATCATGTGATCGCCAACAACATCAGCACCCACGACGCAGCGTTGATGTGTCAGTCGGATGCGTCAAAACGGTCAGTATGTAAAAACTCATTCATCTCGCTGCAAATCGCCATGAAATGTTTGTCTCATGCCGGTCTGTTGGTTCTGACGAAAGACTCGACTCTTACTCACCTTTCAAATGAACTGGTTAAAATATTTTTTAATCATTTTATTACAGCATCATTCAGTTGTTTACGCTTTCATTTATTTTTTTACCGTTGAATGAGTAGTTAAAATCTATTTTGATTTTTGACAAAACATAAACCTTTATAAAGGTCAAATATATTCAATGAAAATTTATTCATTATGTGATGCGCAAATGTCTCTCTATTATGAAACTTTAATTTATGTGTGCAGTATTAAACATTTCATCTAACGTATAATTAGAACATTTTTAACGTTTTTAACATCATGAAAAAACATTCTTTCAAAACATCCAAAAAGGTTCAGTTGAACGTCAACGAACTCATCAACAGATCTTTGACTTTGAAGTTTGTAGGCCAGCAGAGTTGCAGTAGGGCCAGTTTGTCAGAAATGCTGGACATCCTATGTGTACAAGGATTGTGGTCGCACATCTTGTCAGCAGTTAACCTTATCAAATATTATGACGTCATGCATAATAAATATTTAACTTTGAAATCATTCAGTGATCGAACCAAAAAATTAGTAATTCAGTTTGAAGAATAGTTGCTTGCTAAGAAGTGTATCATAATGTAAATAATGTTCAATATTGGCTTATAAATTTTATTTTTAACTATAACTATAAAGATAGTACATTACCATTATTCTATTGAGTGTTGATATATATAATATTAATATTAATTACTTTTAAAATCAAATTCAACTATAATGATATATTTTAGTCGGTGCCTTTCAAAGTAAAGTAAAGCGAAGGTAAGATTTCTCAAGGAGAGGTCATCTCAAGGAGACATCTTGAGTTTAAAAACTTATGGAAAAATTTTAAATCACGTAATTATCGTAAAATAACACAGTAAAAAAGAAAAAATGTACGACAAATAGTAGGTATAACTAATTATCATTACTGTGATAAAGACATGCATGCAAGTCTACTATTACGCAATAAAGCATTTTTTAGCCAGAATATTAGTTCTAAGTCTCAAGAAGAATAGTAGAAAAACATGATGAATTAACTATGAAGATGGTTGTTTCAGGTAGAGCTTCTCATATGTTTATTATTAATTTAGATATTTTAAGCCAATTTTATTTGGTTGAAATCATCGAAAAACAAAATTACGAAGTACTTACTTAGTATCGTTGTCAGTGCTATTATAGATCATTGATATTTACCTGTAAGTGTAAAAACTTCTTCTTATAGTACTTTTACTTTTAAGTCTTCCATTTATAAGCTTTTTATGTCTGGTCATTTGATTGTTCGATGAGCAGCACGATATTGTCCATTATTCGCTTCATCATTTGTTTAATATATTTTATTTGTATTTGACCAGTGATGACGTAAGTACTCAAAAAATGTACTTAAGTATAAGTACTAAGTACTCAGTAATAAAAGTACTTAGGTATAAGTACTAAGTGCCAAAACAAATTGCACACTTGATACTTATAAGTACTAAGTATGAGTACTAAGTGCATAAGTACCTAAGTACATACCATGGTTAATTTGAAATATTTATAAATTTATTAAACTCAGAAATCACTCATTATTTACAGTAATTTATTTACATCAATAAAAGAGTTTGTTCCTTTTGAGTAAAAGTAAAGTTTCAAATGATTCATCACTTAAACGATTTCTTTTAGGAGTGAGAATCATTCCAGCCTGGCTAAATATACGTTCCACAGGTGCTGATGATGGCACAGTGGTATTGTACTTCAAAAACACTTGTGCGACAGCAGGATACCTAAGGAACAATAAAATAGTTGTTAACCGAAATAGCAAATTATTAATTTGTTATTAATACTTGAGAATAAAAATGTATTAGAAAATCAAGCATATACATATTATACATATATAATATATTACAGAAAAATATTGATTACCTTTTGAGTTGTTCCATATCATATGAAGGATCACTAAGATATTGCAGTCCTTCAACTTTTTCATTCGATCGTGATTCGGAACTTGGTTCGTGGAATCCATAAAAATCTGCACTAGTACAACCTCTAGTATTTCTGTCTTCATAAACTGTTGAAGAATTGCTCATTCTGACCACTTCTGCTAGAAACAAGTCTTCAACTTGCTCACGAACTGATGATTCTATCCACCTGATTTTAAAAAACGGATGGCTGATCGAAGCCACAACAAATGCTCTCATCTTGCTGTTGCTTGAAATATCTTTAAAGTTAATTATATCGCCAAAGCGTTTATCCATGCCACATTGAAGAGCAGAAACAAGAGCTGAAGTGTACGATGGAGTAAAAGATTGCAGTCTTCGCTGTATAACAAATATAGTTGGTAAGACAGCACCAAAATAAGACTCCATTGAAACCTCACCTTGGAGCTTGTCCAATGCTAGTGAAATTGGTCTCATCAGTTCCAACCACTCATTAAGAAAACTCAAATCTATATTGCTGAACTTCGGCAGCTGCAAACGTTCCATCACAACATTTACTTTATTGCGAAGACTATATATAATGCTATAACAGTCAAATTCAGAATTCCAGCGTGTCCCATTCGGTTTGGGTATTGTTCTGCCTAAGATTTCATGCACAATTTCAGCAGCTTTTGAACTCTGGTGTGATACGGTGCTGAGAGAGACACACTTACTGGATACTGATCTATATATTCTTTTGTAGTTTGAATCATTATTCAAAGCTTTACTTGCATCAGTTGTAGCAAGCAAGTTTAGAGTGTGTGAAAAGATACATGAGAAGGAAGATAAATTCCGGAGCTGTCATCTATATTACTTTCCAAAAACTTATCACCAATCTCAACTGGAGTCATTTCTGTATCATCATCATCATCAACATCTATTTGCGAATAATCAGAAATACCTGCCTCTGCAAATTCCTTGAATGCTTTCACGAAATTGCTACCATTGTCTGTCACGACATTTACTATTTTCAATGAATCCAGATCAAACTCGCTGTGAATGTTCACCAACATGGCTGCAATTTTGTCATATGAATGAATTCCACGGAACCTACGGAAGGCAAGTGTAACGCCATTGCGCTTAAAATCATCTGGATTTATCCAATGGCAAGTTACTCCAATATAACTTCGAGCATGTTGCGTCCAAATGTCAGCAGTCGTGCAAACAAATTGAAAATTTTTTAGAGTCTCTTTAATAGTCTTCTTCATATCAGTAATCTTTGTGGCCAGAATACCTTTTAATGTCTCGGTACACATAACTCGGGGTTTTGAGTTCAGACCCTGTATCAAAGTTTTAAACCCCTCTCCTTCCACAATTGAAATTGGTTGCAAGTCGTTGATAACAAAATTAATTATTAAATCCTCAACCTTTTTATTTGATATTGATGATACATTTAATAAGTCAAGTTGCTGTTGTTTTTTATATGGAGTTGAAACTGTGGTAGTTTCTTCATCTGCACCTCGCTTTCTACCCGTCTTTAATTTATTTTCTTCCTCGTGCATCTTTTGTAGATAATTTTCACCATGTGTCTTCTGTATATAAAAATGAAAAATGCAATAAATAGAAATTTAATAGAGAGTTAATTCGAGATTTATTAACAAAATAATATTAATTAATATGTATTCAAAAAAAATAGAAATATAATATACATAAAATTTATATTTTTGTTATTATTTATTTATAAGCTACAGGGGCGTTTAGGTTCAATTAATATATCTGATAAGTACTTAGGAAATAATTTAGATTGAGACTTATACATGAACGTGCAAATTTTAAAAATTATTCTATATTTTATAGGTAGCCAGTGCAAGAGAACAAGATATGGAGATATATAAGACAAGAAAGGGGCACGAGCAACTAGACGAGCAGCAGAGTTAAAAGCTTTACTTAAAGGATAGAGTATAGAGTCAGGAAGACCATAGTAAAGCGAGTTACAATAATCAATCCTAGATAAGACTTACGAAGTAACAAGAAGGAGAAGAGTAGGATCATCAAGAAAAGGCAAAAGTTTTTTTATTCTACGTAGATGAAAGTAAGAGCTTCTAGCAACACTATTAATCTGAGAAGAGAGAGACATAGTAGAATCAAAGATAAAACCTAGACTACGAAACTTATGAGAGACATCAAGAGTTTTAGAATCAGGTAAGATAATAGGAGGAATAGTAATTGAGTGTTTAGATTTATTAAAACAAATTAATTCAAACTTAGAAGGATTAAGTTTAAGACACATAGAATCAGACCAAGCGATGATCGAAGAAAGACATAGAGATAAATTATGAAGAACACTATTGAGATTAGATGGGGGAAAAGAAGTATAAATATAAGAATCATCAGCATATAGTTGACTAGAGAAAGAAAAGTTATTAATAATACGAGGTAGTTCAGAAGTATAGAGTATAAATAGAAGAGGGCCAAGGATAGAACCCTGAGGTACCCCGAAAGTAAGAGTAGAGGAGTTAGAAGTAGAATTATTGAGAACAACAGAAGAAAAACGATTACAGAGATAAGAAGAAAACCAAGATAGACAAGAATCAGTAATATTAAAAGAAAGATGCAGCAGTTATCTAAACATCCCGCTATCCATGACTAAACAAGAACAAATGTTGATAAGAGAGATAAACAAGAATGTCAATGTGAAAATGTGTGTGTGTGTTTTCATCACAGTTTTCAATGTTTAAATGTTGACATTATCTTATTTTGCTTAAAATTTTTCTGGTACTTACAGGAAAAATTTATTACTTATAAGTACAAGTACTGAAAATTGTACTTAAGTATAAGTATTTAAGTACAGGTTTTCATATGCACTTAAGTATAAGTATCTAATTACTACATTTGTACTTAAGTACGTGCTTAAGTACAAATGTACTTAAGTACTCGTCGTCACTGTATTTGACTTAATTTAGTTTTTCTGCCCCATCATTTTTTTATATTTTATTTGTACTTGTCTCAATTGAGTTTTTCTGCTCTTCCTTGTTTATTTTGATCTGTGTTTCTGTTATTTAAATTGTTCCATTCATTGTATGTCTTTCTGAGCATTTTTTGTTGTTTTAAGTTTGCATTTCGTTACATAATTTCTATTTGTCTTATTTTATGTTTCATTGTGCACTTTTTAGTTTAGGTGGTCTGCACATACTATTTGTATCTTGTTCTCCTGTGCTTTTGGCCAAATAAATTATTTTCAAATTCAAATATTCCACACCGACCTGCGCAGGACTGGCAATCAACGTAACTATGACTACAGACCACGCCGACACCACCTGTTAATTGTTTGTTAGTAGAGCAAAAATATATAGAATATTCGCTTACAATTGAAAAGTTGAACAATTTTTCTCTTCTCAAATTTGTGGCTTAAAATTTCTGCTTTTGAATTCGTACTTTCAAATAATAAAAATAAAATGTCCAACGTGGAGCTAGATTTCAATTCAAATGACGAAAAGCAAGAGAACTTGCAGGAACTTACTCGTCATGTTAATATGTTTAAGTTGCTATATTTTCTCTGTTTAATCAACAATTGAAATTAAAAAATAAAACAACGAATAGGATAAAAGTCAAAGGATTATTAAGTGCACCTTTATATGTTCAGTAATTTGAATTTTATTTTGAATTATGTATTTTTTACATTAATCAATCAATTGAACAGGTACAAACACTTCTGCAGCAAATGCAAGATAAATTCAAATCAACCTCTGAAAGGATTGTTTCCAGAAATATCCTTTATCGAGTTTTTTTTATAAATATTTATTGCATATTATGGTAACAAGTCATGTATACAGAGTAATTTTTAGTTAACATCAGTGATTAGAGTGTCAGAGTCGGAGATTTTGGCTGGAGTCGGATTTTTTTGAGGGGCCGAGTCAGAGTCGGATGATTCTGTCATAGTTTTAATGTTAATCATATAGCCTACGTATAACTGAACACAATTTATTATGAGAACAAAGGCATATACACATACAGAAGAAGATCTAGTTTATTTTTATTTTGAAGTTTTATTTATTATTTAACGAGTGTTTCATATTAAATCTAATTTTCCTGAACGTTCGTGTCTTTACTTGAAGATATTGGAGAGAAGATAAACGATTTGGAAAGGAACGTAGCAGACATGATGACTCAAGCTGGCGTTGATGATGATGTCTGATATCAAACTTTCCTAACAGAAATTCCAATTTATTTCGGGGCAGATGCGTGTGCTTCTTTGAATAAGCTAACTGCATATTATGTTTATTATTTATTTAATATTTTGTTTAACTTAAAAGCTTTATTGTTACTTGTGTTTGTGGGTTAAGCGGTTAAAAAAGTTTTCGTCCAATATTTTTTTGTATTTTGTCTATGTATAAAAATATTTATTCTTCTGTTTATTTATAATAAGCGATAATTAAGTTTCATGTATTTTCTTTTCATCGATAGACCTATATAATACAGATAAAATAGTGTATGATAGTGGTGTTGTGCTTTTCTACGTTAATTTTAAAAAATGTCTTCTAAAAAAATTGTTCAAGAGGGCGATACCGTCATTCTTAAAAAGGATTCAGATTCTAAAGTTATAAAAATCATTAGCAACAAGTTGGTGATTCTGACTGTACAACACTGGTGATTGTGATTGACTGATTGTGATTGAAAAATAATTTATTTCAACAACATTTAAACGAGTCTCTCAAATCAAAAATTGATGTCAGAAATACTGAAGTCCAACCAAAACGAAATAGGACTGTAAAGTTTACAGTCCTATTTCCTATGAATTACAGTGTAAAAACGAGGATTGATTGATTGATTTTATTTATTATTTTATTTTATAATTTGTAAATACTTAAAATAGTTAATTAAATACTTCACAATGTTTGGCAAAACTGATCTTTTTAAAATTATGTTTTCCAAGACCTGTAAACTTATGGAAAGAAAAATTTAAATTGAATTCTTTGGTTGGAGCTGTGATTGGCAGTTGTTTTAAAGTTGATCTGGGATGTTTGGTGGAGTTGTCTGCAGACGAAATTAATTCACATTTCAACAAAAGTAATTTAAAAATATCTTTTACAAATTATTTTGATATCTTGAACCTGTTAGCCTTTCACCATCATACAAACTGATTTTTGATTTCAACAATTTTTTCAAAAATGACTGTGAAAAGTTGTGAAAATTGTTAAGATGATAAGAATGATGATGAAGTTTGTGGTGATGATGACGGAAGAGCGTGTGGAAAAGATGATGTCATCGCCAACGACAACAGAAACCTAATTGATGATAAAACCAACCAGAAACTAACCAAAGAAGAAATTCAAGAGATGAGGAAAACTGGGATAGGAGGGGAGGTAATGACATGATGATGATGGTGTGATGAGGATGGTGTTAATGATAACTCCTGGTTGAATAGTTTGTAACTTTTTACCAAGGCCATAGTCGACAACCTGATCGTAAACAGTTCCACCTTTTCGAAGAAAACTGACTTCTCAAAACAGAAATATGTAAACAAGAAAAGCAAAAAGTAATTTTCACATACATGATGTTATTATTATTATGGTGAAGTTGTTTTGCATTATACTTTTTGTGACTTGTAACTTGATTCAACAGTGTTGTTTCCTATATAAGAAGTTAAAAATGTATCAATAGAATTGGTTTTTAGAAGTCAGAAATTACTTAAGGGAAGTGTAGACATTTTCCATTGTCAACTCACGTTTTTAAATTTATTAAATGTTTTATGATGAATTTTTTGTCTGAAGTTGATCATGTAGACTGAACATGAAAAAATGCATTGGAAATAAGATCAATAAAAAGAAGTAAAATATGGCTTGAGATAAAAAATAGAAATTGTGTATATAAAAATATGAATACATTCAAATCAGAATAGAATAGAAATATCTACTTCTCAAATCTTTTTAAATAATGCTTCAGGCAATAAGAATGTTTGAATCAACATACCACACCATGAATTAACATTGCAGACATGTTACTGTGTTCACCTTGTTGGAGTGCAACACACGAAACTTGTTGGAGATGTATCATAGCAAGGGCCCCACCAAGATCTGGTTTGTATCACTTTTGCCACACTCACTGCTGTCAACATCATTATTTTATTTGTTGTTGAAAAGTTATCATCATCTCCGTCATCATCAGCATCATTATCGTCATCACCATCAGTTTAACTTCAAGTTTTTTTTGGTTTTTTTCTACATAAAAAGTTTAAACTGATCACAGAAGAAAATGCTTTGAAAATTTGTAAATAGCAAATATTTTATTATTTTTTTATTATCTTCACTGTTATGATCAACCCTAACCTCACCTGCATCTACCAAGGTAATCACTCGACGTCATCACTACACAGCAGCACCAATTTCACCTACACCAACTTCACCACACCACAACATTACACTGTCACCAACATCACGAATAATAATAATACAGCAATCTTCGAATGGACTCTCTGGCTCAGATATTATGCCATGCAAACATTCATCATGGTGGCCGTTACTTGGTGGTGGATGGTTGTCTCGGCCTGGTTCTCGGCTCCATCATTGAAAGACTGAATGGTTTTACATATTTATCATTCATTGTGGACTAATTTGATAACTTTTTTTATAAAACTAAGACAAAGGCTTATAGCCTTTTGTTATTATTATTAATATCATTATTATTATCGCCACAATAAAATACTTGCCATCATCTTAAACAACATCAAATCATGCATCGCGCCTGGAGCAATCATTTTTGCGGATATCGAAGAAGAATCGATCCGCCCTGTGTCGCAACTGTTTACCTCGCCCAGACCAGACATAGCAATCTTGTGCAAAAAAACGTTTGGAATACTGGAACTAGCAGTCTGTCATGAAACCAATTACACCAAATCAAGAAACTACAAAGTGGATGAGTACAAGAACAACCTCAAGAATAACCTATCGAACGATTTTAAGCATTGCAATATTTTAATCAACACTTTTGAAATTTCGCCAATAGGACTTTATAATTCTTTCAATTTATCTCAAACTAAAATAAACTGGCGTGACGATTTTAGATCTAGCTTAATCAATTCTGCGATAGCATCTACTTACGCAATATATTGTGACAGAAATAAAATTGTTTTATCACCCTTGTACACATTCATAATGACGAGCATTGATGTTAAATTATCCATTATTTTAATCTTTTAACTATTATAATAATTGATCATTTTATATTTAATTGTAATTTCTTTTTTTTTACTTATATTTTGGCTTATGAAGAAATAAAAGAGTTCTCATTATTATTATTATTGTTGTTTTTATTATTATTAATGTTTTGTTAACTGTTTGAAGGTAGTGGCCTTGTAATGAATTTGTACACTGGATCAGCTCCAAGCAGGTGAATTACATGTAACTTGTCTGCTGCTTCTTCATTTATAAAAAAATTTATCTTTTCATCTGCAATGGGGGTAATGGTGCTAATAATAAGTCTACCGTTACTTATCTTAGTGTGAGGATAATTTGTTGGGCACGATAATATTGCTCATACTTGGAGTTAATTTATGCATGTAGGTGTGCGTTGGATTGGCAATTTGGCATATGTTATTCGATCGAATGAGACAACATCTTGCTTATTTTATTATTACTTTTAATGCAGACCAGCCATACACCTGAGTTACCAGTTTGTTGAAGAACAGTTAAAAGTACTGCACGACTTTCCTCTCATCAATGTTGCCATGTTGAAGCCACATGTCAACGAACGTCTTGGTAGCGATGGTCTCTATCAAAACAACAACGTAACGAGCAACAACAACAACCTAACAAACAACAACGACAAAGAAAGCGTTTGTGATGAAAGAGTTAATGTTGATAAAAATTCTTTAATTAATTCTATTTCTGAAACGAATGAAGAAGAAGCAGGTGATGACGACGATGACATTGACGACAATATTGCTAACGACGATGATGACGATGTCGTCAGAGAGGGTAAACACAAGATGTCTAAACCCAGATTAGATGTTTGTACGCTCGCAGATACGTTCTCATTTTGTTCTGTTGTGTGCCGTAAATTACATTTTATATATCTTATTAGAACGACGTATCGATTTTCATCCGGTTGTAACGTTACACTCTTCATTGACATAGCAATGCAGCGTACAAACAGCAGATATGTTTGCTGCTATCTTAAGGCTGTTATGTTTCACACACATTTTTTTAAAGTTGTTCAATATAATATGTAGCATATTTCTTTTTGTGTCTGATTTAATTGTTTTTTGTGAAATTCATTGGAGTGTTGTTTTGAGTGGCCTGGTAGAAACTTGTTGTTGAACGATTTTTTCAGAGGGAAGAGCGAGACAGAAGAAGGAAGGAGAGGCGGGAAAAGATTGGGAGAGTGAAGTTGATCATTGAGGAGAATTCATTTGATGGGTCAGTTCTTGTGTTTGTGGGGTCGTTACTTTTTCTTTTTTTCTGTTTTTTAAATGTGTTTAAAGTTTCAACTCTAATTAGATCAATTACCTGACATGATATTTCTTGCAGACTAAGATGATATAGATGGTAAAAATTATTTAACTTGGTACAAATACCTTAACTGTATTGATTCAGCGTTTGTTTTAGCTTTGAATACTTTTGTGTACTTTCTTGGTCAGTTTTAGATATGCAGCATGCACTCCTACTCTCTTTATTCTCACTTAATCATTTTTAGGGTTTAGATTGTTTCAGGCAGCTATGTGTTTGGCTAGTTACTGTCACATTACTAATGTACGTATATGACGATAAGGTTAATACGTTGATTGTTTTGATTGTCCACTGTTCGTTATTACTGTTGCAGTCTGATAATAGCGACAAGAATGCACACGACGCCACTGCTCAGGCATCTCTTACGTCACCTCAGCAGCTCCAGACCGTTTGTCGTCTTCTCCCCCTACAAAGAGGTGGGTAACATTTCCAAATGTTAACTATCGTCATAATTTTTTTTATTCTGCAAATCAAACTCAGTCAATCGCACAATCGCAATTGAAAGTAACAACTTGCAAGGTATGAAACGATGCAATTAAGTATTTAATCTTATCATCTTTTTTGTCACCATGGTGATTGTCTTCTTAACTATCATCAAGATACATATCGTCTCAATTATTATCATATCTATCATTTTTGTTATCATTATCGTGATACCGTCGAGATAACCATTTTTGTTCTGGTGTCTGCTATGTAGCCATCATCTCATTCATCATGTTAATCATTATCGTCCCGATTGTCACCAGGTGTTGATGGACAGTTACATGTTTCTGAAAGACAGCAATCAAGTTGTGCTGCTTAAGATGTTTGAAACATGGCTCAGGAACTATCAGGTTTTATAAAAACGAGTTTGTTTATAAACATTTTACTGGTTTAGGATTGTTCTCATGTTCATCATTCATCGTTCTCACGTTCATTATTCATCGTTTTCACGTTCATCATTCATCGTTCTCACTTTTATCATTCATCGTTCTCACGTCCAACAATCATTTCCAGATCCTGCCGGAAAGGAGCCATCCACATGTAAACATGAGTGGGTCGGGTGGATATCTGCTTACCGGCTTTACTGTACACGACTGATTTGCTGTTTTTTTTAACAATTTTATTTCATAAAAAAATGAAATTAGATGCATCCTTAGCAATGAATGCTGTATTCTAGGTGGCCTCAAATTTAAATTGAGCCAATTAAGAAAATAACTAAAATAAAATGAAGTTTGTTATTTAATATGTAATTTAGTTAATCGATTTGCTGACTGATTGATTTGTTCATTAACCTGTCAGTACGAGTTAGAGTGGATGTTACTTTCATGATTTTTAAAAAACGTTAAACTCTATCGAACTATAACGCCGATGTTTTGTTAGAGTTTGGTATAAAATAACAACAATTCTTTTAATTTGTTTTGATTTGCCGTTAAAACATTTTTTTATTGAAAATATTTGTAACACGTTCCATTCGATCCTCTGCTTGCGTAATAAATCAACTTGTAGGATTGAAAGTGAACGAAACGGTTTATTGACCGAAGTTGTAGAGTACTTGTGCTTTGAAGGAGCTTAAATTTGGTCGTCGGTGACCGGGACAGAAATATGGGACGAGAGAATTTCAATTCAGTTAGCCTATGTGGGAAATGGTTTTGAGTGTTGGGGAAGCTTAATGCGTAAAAACGATGATCATTAACTTTGTCTTGTTCCTTTCCATTTCAATGTAGAGTAAATTTTGTTAAAGCAAACGGTGTTAGTGGACAAACTGCCTTTTGTTCAGCAAAAGATTGGCGAGTTAGCTTATCCGTTAAAAAGGACATGTTTAGTTTCGCTGTTAATGCGCTTCCATGATTATTTAGTTGAAACTCTAAGACTCATCATGTGCGTATCTGTGTATAATAGGAAGGCTCATTCTCGTCCAATTGTTCACTGAGGATGCCGCTTTTTGCCGCATTTATTGCTAGGCTGATTTTACTTTTTTTTTAATAAAATGGATTAAAAAAAGTTCATTTGCGACAAAGTATGCAAGGAACGGTCTGTAAGTAACCCTTCGTTTGACGGAGCTGTAGCTGTGTCGTAAAGAAAAGGAAAGTTATGACAATTATGAAAGTTACCTATATCATAAATGGATTTTTCCGACGACGAAAGTTAAAGTAACGTGAGCAGGTTAGCAGTCCTGTGATATCTACTTTTAACATGAGTGGTTTGTAACTTGCACATCAAAAATAACATTTGCTTCTACTTTTGAATTCGCCGAGCACATTTTATTTTTAATATTTTCAGTTTAGATTTTTTGAAAATAAAATAATTTATGCAGTTTTTAATGTTTTAAACATGGATATATATATATATATATATATATATATATATATATATATATATATATATATATTGTTATAACCGTGCTACCGAACGCACTAGAACATTCTAGAATATGCTAGAATTGGACCATCTAGATTCTAGAAGAATCTAGAAACGACGCTTGCGAAGAGTATATAAGCGCACGTCGCAAGAAGATTAGTGATTAGTGAAATTCGTGATTAGTGAAATTCGTGATTTTGCAAATTCGTGACTTTGTGATTTTGTGAATAGCGATTCGGTGAATTATTAAAAGCGATATTTGATTTGTTTTGTTGACGTTGCCATAGCGATAGATTTTGAACAATTTAAAAGTTAATTGTTGTGTTAATTTGAATTTGCTAGAAATAAACGATTAGTTGATTTCTTCTGTAAATAAAGTTTAATAACTAATAACTGTTTGGAGTATTTTATTCAATCGAAGATTTGAACCCGTCGCATCGTAAATCGGTTACGACAGCGAGTATTATAACAATATATATATTTATTATTATTTTTTATTATTAATAGAAAACTTAATATAGCGTTCGTTATAGCAGTTTTCACAAACGCTATCAAATTATAACTAATATTAATAACAAAATAGCAACAATGAAAAGAGATGAACTATAATGAAAAAAGGTATGTCTTTAATTGTCTTTTAAATTTAGCAATTTTCATTCCAGGCATTTTGAGGGCTGACGGCAAGCCGTTCCATACGACAGGTTCTGACACAGCAAAATCACGCGATCCAATCTTTAGCTGTCTATGAGGAACCACAAGAATGTTCGAATCGTCAGACCTCAGACGCACACCAAATGCGATCGACGTTTTTAATTTCAGTTTATTTGATAAATATTTTGGAGCCAGACCATTTAGTGATTTGAAAACTGTGACAGAGATTTTAAAAACAATTTTTTTATTTATGGGCAACCAATGCAAATCACTCAGGATCGGTGTGGCGTGATCATACCATCGACATCCAGCCACAATCCAGGCAGTACGGTTTTGTATCGATTGCAGAATACATTATATACATGGTTTTAAACCTTTTATTTTTTGTTGATAGCTAAATAAGCTGTATAGCGCTCTAGAATATAATCTTTTGTCGCATGACTAGGCTCAATTTCAAAAATTTAAATCGAGATATCGTTATTATAATGCTATTTTTATATGCGATTTGTGACGATGTCTTGCGTGCCCTCCTCGTTTTATTCAAGACAAAATTTCAATATCGTATTGCACTGTTTCAAAATAATAGACGCATATGCTTAGTTTTGCGCCAATTTTATGTTGCGGTGATTTCTTTTTCATAAAAACAAAATTGTAAAGATAAATGGCGCGATTAAGGTTTGATCTTTTGTGAATCTCAAATCTACAAAAATTTAGAAATGATGATATGAACATCTAAGTGGCGCATCTAAGTGGCGGATTTAGACCACTTTATCGGGGGGCCTCAAAATATTTCTAACACCTTTTTTTTGCTTATTACGTCATTTTTCTCCAAAGGCACTTTTTTGGTTAAAACAATGAGTTTTACTGACTTTTAATACAAAAACTGCTCTCAATGGGGGACACTGACCTCCCCGGCCCCCTCTAGACCTGCCACTGTCTGTGCGCATTATCTTCTCAAAGTGTCTCAAACTTGGGTTTGTGTACATATAGTGATATAGTACATAGACTAACACGAAACAGCACTTTACATATTTTTTTATTTAGTTAAAGTTTAAAGAAGTTATAAAACTCAACGAATGAAGTTATCGATTTAAACTGGATGTTTAAATGCGAACAAATTGCACTTGTTTATAACTTTTGGTGTTGTTCATGGATGAATCATTTTCAATTTCAAATAAACTCATTGTATGTTAAATTAAATTAAATAATATGACAAAAATCATTGTACAAACAATTTTGATAAACTGTTTTAAAAAAAATTTCAATGATAAACAAATGGTGATTGTGGCTGTTACTATCCATGACACTTGTTTGAAGCGTCTAAATTACATTCAGGCATTTGTTCTTTCATAATTCACAACATAAGCGAATTTATTGTCAATAATGGCATTCTAGATTCTTTACACAATATCTTTGAACCATGGCTTGTAGTTTTCTGCTTCTTTCTTTTTATACTTTATTTTCACAAACATCATTTGTTAAAAATTTCAAAATGTGAATAACTGAACAGTAAATAAAAATTAACAAACCATATTTGTGAATTGATCCGTGCAAGCCATTCTGATCCGCTCACAAGTTAATGGGGAATCGAGCCTGAACCAGTTATCAGACAGACCAGCGTCTTTGCGGGCCGATGTTATTGCCTGACGAATGGCTCCGACAACACTAATTGCCAGCAACAATGGAGGCTCTCCAATTGCCTAGAGTTGTTTAAACTGAGCTTAATAATCATCATCAAAGAGATGTTCGTTCATCAAATAACTCAATTTACTTTTGATGAATACACAGCTTTGAGATTTTTTGAATTTTTAAGCAACGTAACGTTGAAGATGCGTGGGGTGTCGCATACAGAAGGTATTTTATAAACCCCTGGTCCGTTCATTAACAACCTTCCATCACATGAATACTTCAAATCTTCCATTGTGTACAAACCAAATCCTTGCATGTAAGCACCTTCAATCTGGCCTACATCAATAGCGGGATTCAAACTTTTACCCACATCCATCACAATGTCCGTCCTTAGAAGCTGCAATGTTTCATTTAAATTGTCATTGCAGAGTTTTGAAACTGTTAGTTGTTTACCTGAAGAGCTCCAGTTAAGCAGTCAATTTGTACGACCGAACAAGCCACGCCAAGAGTGAAATAGTGATACATGAGACCCTTGTTCTTTTCCACGTCGAACTCAGAAAATGCTTTCCTTTTAAATAGAAATAATTATCATTTCAAATGAATTTATGTTCTATTTAAACAATAGACTGTTCTTTACTGCCAACTGAATAATAATAAAAAATTGAACTTGTAATATCCTGTGGCCATTAGTTGAACACGATCCATGTAAGCTCTTTCAATCCACGCCTTCCAGCCGCTCTCAGGTTTTGATTTGATGTAAGGCTGCAACCTTCTGATTATTTTCTCACATGCCAACTGAACGTCGATCAATTTAAAAAATTAATTTTATTTAATAAATTAAATTGCTTTCATTGATTCAAGAATTGCTTTCTTTCACAGCGAAAAAAGTTTTACTGGCACTGAATAATAAACTAACCACAATGGCCATGCCGAAAAGATCTGAACTCGAACTAGCGGCGGTGGGACTGGCATTAGGGATGATGTGAGAGTTTGTCTCGTGAATGTGGATCATGGAGGTGCTGATCTGCAGAACTTCTGCAGCCACCTGATAATTAATCATTGTATAACTAAACTATCTTAGCTATCTTACTAATCTTCCTGCGATAATCGTGAACATTTTACTTATTTATTTGTATTAACTGTAAATACACTTTTAAAAAGCGGAGCCATAATTGTAATTATTTATTGTACATTAGACAATAAATTTGTTTTCGACCTACTTGAATCATTTTTGTGTGCAGACCCTGACCCATTTCAGTTCCTCCGTGAGATAATAGAACCGATCCATCCTTGAAGACATTGACAAGTGCTCCAGCCTGCGTTTAATGATTGAAACATTTTTACTCAGGCAGTTTAAAACTAACTTTCAGAATTAATTCAACTATGTCGTTGTTACGTTTCAGTGCAAGAATAAAATCAATATTATTTAAATTTATATTATGTAATTAAATCATAGTTTAATAACTGAAAACTGACCTGGTGTAGCCAAGCTAATGAATAACCTACACCGTACTTAATGCCATTCAAACTGAGGCCCCTTTTCATCCATCTGTGACTCCTTTCAAGTTTATTAACAAATATTCGAAAATATATCGTCAAGTAATTTTTTAAAACTTGAACTAGAGTTTTAAACGGGATGAAAACATTTTAATTGAATCACACAAAAATAAATTAGACAATTAAATAGACAATTAATGCATTTAAGCAAGATGATTGCTTTATTAATTATTTTTAGATAATTTAATTAAAAAGTTATTATAATAAAAATAATAATGAACCGGTTAAATTCTTCAATTTCTTCCAGTTGTTTCTCAAAGTCCGAACGTTCTTTGGTTTGTTGCCAGCAATTTTTAAGAGTAACATCACAATCCATGATTTGATTGTACATTGTTTGATCTCCGGCGTTGTACATATTCAATTCTCTAATCTGTGTGGTTGAATTGCTGAACATGCTAATCAAATCGTTAAAATAGGTGCCTGAGGTTTAAAACTTAGCCACGAAATCTAAAAAAAAAATTGGCTATCACAGTTTACAAAATCAACGAGAACAACACTGACATCCATAATTAAACAGAACGCCGACGTCAGTTGCGTGCAACGTCAGCAACTGTTACAAACTATAATAATTGATTACTTGAAACGTTATTTTAACAATTGCGTACCTATAAAATGAAGTGTTGGTAACATAAAAACATACATGCCATTTAAAACCAAAAATCAATAAGCAAAAATCAAACAAGTTCATCAATGTGTAATGAAAAAAATTCAAATATAAAAACAAACGTCAAATCAATTAAATATTCAGATGTAAGAAATATTTAAAACCAAAACATCAAACTGTTAGTTAATTATTCTAATAATTAACTTTATAACTACCGATACAGTGGATAGTTTCAAATGCGAGGCGACATGGTCGAGAATGGTCTCGCATACGAAAGTGGCTTGTGGGGTTCCAAACCCTCTGAAGGCCGTGTTGGATGGCAGATTGGTCTTGCACAAGAACCTCTTGATGAGGATGTGCTTGAAATGGTACATGTTATCCAGCTGAAAAGTTGCTTTCTCTATGACCTGGTTGTCAGTGTTCATCTTGTTATATAAGTTTATAAAAGTTAAATATTGTTATATTTCAGACTGAGTGCCATGATTTTTCAGATTCATTATTTAAAACAAAGTTTCTTAAACAAAAATTTATTGAAAAAATAAAAACTTTCATATTTTCCAGTTATTATCAACATTACGTTGATAAGCAACATAGGAAATAACATCAGCAAAATAAAAATACATCAAGCGACTTCATTGAGGCCAACTGCATCCCTCATAAACAACTTACCGCTTCTGAGCAATCTGAGAAACAACCGCAATTGGCAAACATTTCAACCACTAATGCCTCTATGTGACCCTCTTTGGTGAAGCCAACCTTACATAAGTATCGTTATAAATTTATTCAAAAAGTAGTTGGAAGATCAATTAGAAATTATTATGCGTACTTTATACTTGGCGTAGTATGGGTGTCTTCCTCCTGTCATCAGCATGTCGTCATCACGATCCAGCGTACATCTAACGGGACGCTTGAATCTGAATGTTGTAGGTGGTAAACATGAACACGCCATGAACCGTCAACACAGAATGAAAACATCAACAAAGAACAGAACACAACAAAACAATAACAGATCAGTTCGTCGACAACATCGTCATAACGGGGAAGAAGACAGCAGCGTCATAAGAGAAACATTGAATAATGTCATTCAACACATCCAATTATAAGCCATGTCACGTGATGCAACGTCATCAAACAACCTTACGATCTTATTATTGTGTACCACTGTACGCACCGTCGTACCGACAACGACTCTAATTAATTTGAACAACAACAACAATGGGAAGCACTGAATACTGATATCAAACATCGGTAGGTACAACGAACTTGTGAGCGGCAACAACGGCAGGCAGAGCTGGGATCTGCGGTTTGTTCTCCTTACCACCGAATCCTCCACCTTGGAAATAATGCGTTTTCAAAAGTTAGGACTTGTTTTATTTTTGTGATGTTTGTCGATACTCATTATCATTCTGGTTATAGTCATTCTCTCTCATTCTCTCTCTCTCTATCTTTCTGTCCCTCTCTCGGACACACACACTCAAACACACACACACACACACACTCAAACACACACACACACACACACACACACAAATTAAAGCTTCTTTCGTGAAATCAATCATTAAAATTAATAGCAAATTAATTTCGCTGTTTGAATTAAATGCATCGAACTTCTATATAATGTAACATGTAATTGGCAATTTTTTAATTTTTGTCTACCTACAATATGCACGCACACACATACACACACGTGTGTGTATATGTATGTAAAGTAAATATGTTTATACACACATTATTGGTTTTGTGTTAATTTTATTATTATTGATTTTTTAACTTCGCATCATATGACAGAAGAATCACTCGTCATCATACCATCACAGCAGCACATACCCACTCTTCCCACTCTGACCAAAATTTTACTCGTGGAGACTCCCATTACGCTTGCTGCACCTCTCTGTGTAAATATGTTTGTGTGTCACGTGATGTTGTGCTGATGTTCTAATGTGTCACGTTATTGTAATCGTTATAATATAATGATGATGTTATTGTAATTGTAGTAGTTGCTAATGTAAAACTTTGATAAACGAATGAGTAAATGAATACAATACATAATAGACATCGTTGCAGGGGGCACGAATATCTGATACGAACGTCGACGATATCAACCCTTTGCATACATTTTTGAACAGGTACAACGTTCTCCGTTATAACACAATCTCAAAAAATTTACTCAAACAAATAATATTTCTAATACTACTCTTTCATCGAATAAATTTAGACCGAAAATGTACCAATGAACTTTGTGACTTGCAAACAACAAATGAGCAACTTTTAAAAATTGCTGATCTGATATGATGCAAGTTGACGTCAACATTAACCAGGCAACTGCGTCTTTCACGTGCACAGTAACCTGATTTCATTGCTCTGGTATTTTTTATTGCAAGGAATGTTTAATTTGTGCTTTGAAAAAATTGTAATGTCTACAAGCCATTTATAATAATAATAATGTCATTTTATACAACGCTATGGCAAGTGACTGAGGCGCATTACCACTATTACAACAAACACCCATCACACAGTTTTGCATGTGGTAGGCGGGGTTCTTTTGGCATTCGAACCCGGACACTGCATCAACAATGCCAGGCACCTTAACCATTACACCATCGCGCCGCCCAACATTTAAAACTAAGTTTCTATATCTATGTTGTCAATGTTGTTATATATCATAAAAATTAAAGAAAAATAGTTAAATACGAAGGTCTCAAAGCAGATAGGTGCTTGCAGTAAGTTTTCAACTTTTTAACTCTGGAATTTTTTTGATTCTTAAAAAAGTTATTTTGATTTTTAAGTTGAGCATAACATGTCTCATTTATTTGTTCAAATGTTATAATGCACTGTGTTTGTGTCTGCTCCATTGATTTACACAAAGAAATTTAACTTTATTTTTAAAATTGTTCTAAATTTTTACATGCTGCTCTCGCTTCCAATAACGATATGCGGCCCACAGAATTTATAATTAGTAATTTATAACGAATTTTCACTATTTATCGAGTGATCTCTTTAACAACACTAAGAAATTGAATAATAAATAGCTAATGATTTTTAAAATTTTGTTTTTGTCCTAAAATAATTTTAAGTAAAAATTTTGTAATTTAGGATACTATTTGAAAATGAAACTTTACTTTTTCGCAATATTTAGAATTTTCTAATTGTTATAATATCATCTTTGGGGGAAAGAAAAAAAGAGAAGATTTGATTCAGTTGTTTAAAATCATGCATAATTTGGACAAAGTTGATTTAAATAATCGTTTTAGCATAGTCAAAACCAAAACGCGAGGTCACAGATTGAAATATTTTAAAGAGTTAACAAGACCTAGAGGCAGAGAGAATTACGTATTCAATAGAGTCGCAAATACTTGGAACTCATTACCGAATGAATTTTTGAGGCACAATCAATGAACAAATTTAAAGCAGGCATTGATTGTTTGATGAAAAACAATCAATCAACGAATCAGCTGTGCTAGCATGCCTGACAGCATGCTCTCTGGATAACCTCCAGAACAGCATTACTACTACTACTACTACTACTACTACTACTACTACTACTACTACTACTACTACTACTACTATACTACTACTACTACTACTACTACTACTACTACTACTACTACTACTACTACTTCTACTACTACTACTACTACTACTACTACTACTACTACTACTACTACTACTACTACTACTACTACTACTTCTACTACTACTACTACTACTACTACTACTACTACTACTACTACTACTACTACTACTACTACTACTACTACTAACTGCCAAATAAAATATCAGCTGAGTCATTATAATTGAAATCAACTTTGGGACCATCATCAAGCAAACATCATAACCATCCATCCAATCTCCAACCTGAACATCATCGCAATGCTGAGTGGAGCTCCAAATTTCAGCTCCCCCATCTTCATGTGGAACAACGACGCACCCATTCGTCTCCATGTAGAAATGTTCCTGCCCACCCATACTGACTTCATCCTCCAACACAAACTCGCAAGCCTCCATCACAGTCAGTGGGTCCCCATTTTTTAATGGCGGTAAAGGTTTTATCAGAGAATTGTTAGCCATGGCTTCCTGTAGATAAATGTTAGTGTCAACAGTTTTTACTTGTAATAAACATAAGGACGGTTTTTCTTAAGTGTTGCAATTAATTTACTAAAAAATAATTTTAAAAAATTGTCTACCTTAATTGACAAAATGGGTGTAAGTTCTTCGTACTCAACTTTCACCTTTTGAACAGCTTTTCTGCTCTGACTCTTCGTCTGCGCGAGTACCCCAAGTATTGGTTGATACTGAGCGACAACCTGCATTGATGATAACCATGAGTGCCATACATTCTCTATATAATGATAATGTAACAGTTTATAATTATGTTAATCGTTGGCCCTTTCATTTTTTCTTTGGTTAACTATTTCGTTGCGAAAAAATGCGAAAGGAAAAGAAGAATAATAATATATGTTTAATATTTTGGCTTGCATAAAGCCTGCACATTTAATATTTTTGTTTACATCTCAATCATAAAAAAGTGAATTTATTATGTTCTTTAAAACTAACAGTCTTAGAACAAAAGACTTCTTCATCTTTGATCAGCTTGCCGTACCAGTTAGACCCAGGAACGTCATCAGGACCAACAACTCCCACCACTCCATCACACTTCAAAGCTTCCGAGTAGTCAACGTTTAAAATGTTTGCGTGAGCTTTTGAACTCAAAACAAAGGACAAGAACAGTTCATCTGAATTGTGGTTTGTAGTTTTTAAAATAATTTGTTTGCTTTTTTTATAAAAAAAAATTATAAAAATAAATATTTGTAATAGAATAAAGTTGTCTGATTTATAAATGTTTTAAAGTGAAAAACCGAATGATAACACTAGTATAAGTCAATTTTGCTGACAGTAATTTAGCATGTGATCTTTATGTTACTTTGGTGTGCTGATTCCAAATATCATATCCATTTTCATCAGTGACATCTACTTTTGGCACAAAATGAAAAAAACTAATCGGTATTTATTGAAATAATATATATGTATATTATATATGTTTCAATATATTTATGACTTTCCATAGTTTCAGACAATCATAGTCAAACTAACTTGACTAACTTGCACGTGTATGCTTTTCGCTTTTTGTCGACTAACGTGTCTTCTAATATTTCAATTAACGTTTCTTTAATAAACAATTATATTAAAAACAAACAAAGAAGTTTTTTATTTTAAACAGGTTATGAGCTCAGAACGCTTAATAAATTGTTTAGAGAAAAAGTTATTTTGAAAAAAAAGAAAGAGATTCGTGACTAAAAGAACTTTTCCAACTATCGTTGAAGCAAGAACATCAATCTTTAAAAATTTTAAAGAAAATTAAAATGGACTCAAAGCTTCAAATGAAACAGTTAAGTTGCGCAGCCGATTGGCCCATTTGGAAACGTCGTGTTCGAGATTTCATGGACTACCATGAGGGTGCACTTGATGTGATTGATGGGAAGTTGTCGAAACCAGAATTACTAAAAAATCAAACAGAGCAACAGACAAAAGATTTTAAAAATAAATCAGATCTGTTTAGAAAGGCAAACAGTTATGCCAAATCAGTAATTACGAATGCAGTCACAGAAGATACATACCAAAAGATAATGGACAAGAACACAGCGTTTGAAGTTTGGGAGGAATTAAAAAGAAATTAAAATTAAAAAGAAATTTTGAAGCGTCAACTAGGGACCAACTGTTCCAAATTTGTAACAATTTTTTCGATTTCAATTGGATAGCGGATGTAGATGTATCCGGCCAAATTGCAAGATTTGAAGACTTTATGGAACGAATTAAACAGTGGGCTTCAGGCATCGGGAGAAAATAAACTACCAGAGCTGCTATCAGTTTGCAAAGCGATGCAGATTCTCCCAAATAGTTTCCAAAACTTCAAATCAAGTTGGCTAATGCTAGGTGAAGAAAAGCAGTCGATAGATGATTTAATCACTCATCTCTGTGCTTTCGAAAGAGAGATAAAGACTTTCAACACAATCGGTAAATCATCAAGGCAGAACGCCTTAGTTGTAAATGTTGAAAAGCCAAGTTTCAACAAATCAAGAGATTTCACTAAAAGGACAAAACCAGTTGGTAACTGCAACTATTGCCATAAACCTGGACACTGGGTTAAGCAATGTAGAAAGTGGGTCAGTGATGGAAGACCTTCTAAAAATTCCAAAAATGTTTCAGCGACACCAAGAAAAGCATATGATGAAACATCAAATGTAGTTTTGTGCACGTCAGCCAGTAATCAAACACTGAGAGACAAACAACAACACACGTTTAGACGACTTTTTCCCCGAGATCGGGGGTTGCCGTTTGGCCACCTATGATGAAACCATTGTCACTTCTGTCATCATAAGTAATTTATTTGGCTAATTTTTACGCGGGACGCCCCTCCTTACGCAACCATAGTTATAAGCGGTGGGCCTAGCCTTTGATGATCCAACATCACTCACAAGGCAGTGAGGGTCAGTTTAATGTCATAACCAGGACAACTGAGATACAACACTAAGTGGTATATTGACAATGGAGCAACAAAGCACCTAACGAACAATCCAGATAATTTTGCTACTTTTGAGAAGTTTGTCGCACCACGTTCTGTTCAAGCTGCAGGAAAAGAAGTTCTTGCTGCTGTGGGTAGAGGCGAAATAAATATGCTGTCAACAGTAAATAACAAACAACAGTATATAAAACTCTCAGATGTCTGGTATGTTCCAAATATAGGTAGAAACCTGTTTTCCATATTAGCCGCACAAGATAAAAATTCAAAAAACAGCAAGTTTGAATCTTATGCAACCAAATGTCAACTCAGTATAAAGAACTGAGAAAGAATGTTATAGAAAAGGAGTTAAACATTAAAGTTCATCTTGAAAAGGATTTGTGTGAACCATGTCTCTATGGTAAAGCACATCGGTTAAAATTTGGCAAGAGAAATGCAACCAATAAACCAGGTGAACTACTATCAGCAGATGTTGGTGGTCCTTTCAGTACAAAATCATTTAATAGTAAATGATATTTTGTTGTTTTCAAAGATCATTACAGCAAAATGAGGTTCATTTCTTTTCTTAGACACAAAAATGAAGTAAAACAGGCACTACAAAATATTTTGTCTCAAGCAGCGACTCAAGGTCATAAAGTAAAAGAATTTTTGAGTGACAATGGGGGTGAGTTTGACAACGAAGAAGTTCGAAACATCCTGCGCAGCCATGGAATCACGCAAAGACTAACAGCACCATATACACCTCAACAAAATGGTGGTAGTGAACGTGAAAACAGAACAATAGTAGAAATGGCACGCACATTGAAGTACTCAAATCCAGATTTTGAATTTCCAGTCGCTATGTGGGCTGAGTTATGTTCAACTGCAGTATATTTACTTAATCGAACAGGCAAGTCGTCGATTGAAGATAAAAGCCCATTTGAAATTTGGACAGGTAAAAAGCCGAGAATTAACCATTTGAGAATAATTGGCTCTACATGTTTTGTTCACATACCTGATCAAAAACGTCAAAAAATGGATAAGAAAGCCATAAAAGGTTACCTTGTTGATTACGATGGTGACGAACGCTATCGTATATGGCTCAAAAATCAATATAAAATGATATTCTCAAGAGATGTAGTTTTCCAAGAAAAACCTATGAAATGTACAACATCATTTGAACATCAAACTCAAAAAGATTTTACAACAGATCCTCAAATCAATTGCAAATCAGAAAATGACTCGAGTAGTAGAAATGATGATTCAAAAGAAGAAATTACAGATGGCACTGAGAAGATTATAGATAATTCAGTTAAAGTTCAACTCAGAAATAGGTCAAGCTTGCAGAAACCTAATAAGTTAGATGATTATGTGATGCAGGCTGAGACATATTTATTAGATGTACATGAACCAGATACATACGAAGAAGCCATTCAAAGCAGGGAAAGTAAATATTGGAATGATGCCATGAATAATGAAATTAATTCATTAAACAAAAATAGAACTTGGGAACTTTGTGAGCTACCCAGAGGAGCTAAAGTTATTCCATGTAAATGGGTTTACAAAATAAAAACCTTGCCAGACGGAAGTGTAGATAGATACAAGGCAAGACTTGTGGCAAAAGGATTTAGATTACAATCAGACGTTTAGTCCAGTAGTAAAGTTGACTACAGTTCGCTCTGTACTAGGTATTGCAGCAAGTGAAAAACTGCATCTTCAATTTGATGTATCAACTGCATTCCTGTATGGTGAACTTGATGAAGTGATCCACATCAGACAACCAGAAGGATATAATGATGGCTCAAATAAAGTTTGTCGATTGCTCAAAAGTCTGTATGGTCTAAAGCAAGCACCTCGTTGTTGGAATCAATGCTTCGGCAAGTTTCTTTTTGAATGTGGCTTTAAGTCGAGTGAAGCGGATCCATGTCTGTATGTTAAAAAACAGAATGAAAACATTATGATGTTAGCGTTGTATGTTGATGATGGACTGGTAGCTGCTAGCAACACAGAAGATTTAGATCTATTCATTGGAAAATTGAAGCTGAAATTTCAGGTTACTGTTAAACCTGCAACATATTTTCTAGGTCTTCAAATAGAAACTCTATTGGATGGAAGCATAAAAATTTGTCAATCTGGTTATGCAAGGAAAATTCTTAAACTTTTCAGATTTGAAGAATGTAAACCAGTTCACACCCCAATGCTTAAAGAAAATGATAATAATCAATCAGACATAGCAGGTTCAGAATACCCTTTTCGACAACTAGTTGGAGCATTAATGTACCTGATGTTAGGTACAAGGCCAGACATTGCGTACAGCATTAGCTATTTATCACGCTCCCTCGAGAACCCAACACCAGAAGATATAATAAAAGCAAAACGAGTGCTTAGATACTTAGCTTGAACAATCGATCAGAGCATTGTGTACAGATCAGACAGTACAAAAGGAGTTTTACAATGTTTCAGTGATTCAGATTTTGGAGGCTGTAGAAAGACTGGACGTTCGACCACAGGTATTGCAGTGATATATGCAGGAGGCATAATATCATGGATTAGTCAACGACAGGCCATAGTTGCAACATCTACAACAGAGGCTGAGATCATCGCTGCGACAGAGGCTGTCAAAGAAATAATTTGGCTTCAAAGATTATTCAAATCTTTACAGGTTGATTTGAAAGATGTGCCAATCTTGCAAGTTGACAACAGTGCTGCAGCCAAATTAGCTCAGAACCCACAATTTCATCGGCGAACAAAACACATTAACTTGAAGAACTTTTTTATTAGAGAAAAAATTCAAGATGGAACGGTTGATATCACACAAATTTCAACAAGTGATCAAGTCGCTGATGTGATGACAAAGCCACTGGACAGAGTCAGACTGAAACTCCTGTGTGGACATATGGGACTAATGTCATAAAATGGTTTGAAACAAGAGAAAGTATTGAAATAATATATATGTATATTATATATGTTTCAATATATTTATGACTTTCCATAGTTTCAGACAATCATAGTCAAGCTAACTTGACTAACTTGCACGTGTATGCTTTTCGCTTTTTGTCGACTAACGTGTCTTCTAATATTTCAATTAACGTTTCTTTAATAAACAATTATATTAAAAACAAAGAAGTTTTTTATTTTAAACAGTATTAACATTTTAACGTTAAAACAAACTGCTTTGGTTATGCCATGAAAAATTAAAATACATGCAGAGAACAAATGCTCAGTATGTAATAAGCATAAATATTATATGAATCCGTAGTAAGCATTTTACAAAAAATAAGATACAACGAACATTTCTGGACGTTGTGTGGAGACCTAAAAGTCTCATACCTGCTCCTGGGACATTAAAGCGAATGCACAGTTTCCTTGTTTTATGTGCTTATGGGACAGCCGAGATAAAGTTGAGCAATATAAAATAAGTGTGGCCTATTAGAGAAATATATAATTTATTTAAAATTTGTGGAAAAAAAACAGAATGAACCGCTTGTCAGTCTTTAAAAAAGTTTTGCTCCCGCCCCTGCATATAAATTTGAGACTCATGCCAAAGCTTTGGACCAAGATGGACAGTGTTTCAAACATTTGTATACTTAGTTTTCTGCTCTATTTTGTGAAAATTTGGAAGTTGGTCTACAAATCAAGTTCATGATCAAAGTCAAAAAGTTTATTAAAACCATAAAAAACAGAAAAAACGCTTGGTCTGCTATGTGTGATGTCATTTGAAACTTCAAAAGAAATTTCAAAGCAGCTAATTTCTTTTAGTGAAGAATTTATTGATAACTTTTCAATACTTGGAGCAAACATGAGTGTAAAATTGCGATTTTTTCATAGCTATTACTTCCCATCAAACCTCGAAAGGATAAGGAGCCACCAAGATAGCAAAACAATGGAGCGCGTGATAGCAGATTGGTGTGTACACTGTACAGTTTGACTAGGCTAATAAAAAATATTTAAAAAAAATCAAAACTGAGAAAATTTTTTCCTATAAATTGAATTTAATTTTTTTCAGTGAACAAATTTGTTTTATAGAAAAAATTAATGAATGAAACTATACTGAAATTTTATTTTTTATGTTTTTACATAGTATTTAATTTTGTTTCTTAATTATTTTTGTACGTTTTTCCCTGTGTCTATGGTGTGGTCATGCAAGTTCATGTTAAGCTTCTGGCCTCCTGGCTGTGCCCGTATAAATTGAACAAATAAATAAATTTATTATGAAAAATTTCTCATTGTACATTTGCTTGAAAGCTCAATAAAAGAATTGTCATTTGTGCAAATATTTGACGTATTACATAATTTCTGATTTTAAATTTGAACTCAGCATCACTCAAATAAAGATAATCAGCAAAAATACTCAAGTCAGCAGATAATATTTTTCATATGTAGACCAGTGAACTATTTGAATGTCACTGAAAAGCTTAGTAGGGTTTTTTAGACTAACTTAAAATAAAATGTTTATTCATGAAGTAATAATATGTTCACATTTGTTATTTAATATTATTTATTCTTGCGATACTGTGTTTATGAAGTTTTACGCAAAGCGATCACGTTCAATGTAAATGGTTGCTTGACCAACCTTTGTAATGAGGCAAGTCATCAACATATGCCGCTTCCCCTGTTGCGTGTTTAAACGCAGACTCGTGTAGAATAGGCTTGCCTACCACGCTCAACTCGTCTTTAAACTTCGGTGCCATGTTGATGTCTTCATGCGAAGTAAGTGACGGTGGTAGAATGGGTTTGTCGAATTCGTTGTTGTATTCTGTTTTGTCATCAAAGTTGACGAAAGTTTCCAGTGTGTAAGGGCGGCGTGTTTTTCTTTCATTTTCATCGTCGTCGTCATCGTACACTTGAACGCAGTGTCGTTGGTGGTGAAGGTTTTCGTTCAGCAAGTGGCTAGCACTTTTGTCTTCTTTCGTTAACAGTGGAGTCTTATAAACTGTTGGCTGAAAACATCAGATTAAGATAAAATTAATCCAAAGCAAGTAAGATGATTATTGGTCAAAATGACTCACGTGATCCTTCTGCAACTGTAAACAAACATCGACATAGAATTTGAAGAAAAACGAAAGGGTGAGTGAAGATCTGTAGGCTTCCATTCCACCTGGAACTCCCAAGTTCAAGGATGTCTCTTCAGATAGAGATGAGATAGCCATATTCAATAAATCATCGTTCCATTCTCTGCCGTTTTTTAAAAAATGTTAATATTATTAGTTAATAGAAAATACTAAAAAGTTATTAAAGCAAAATGAACGAGTTGAAATAAATCGACTGACTTTCCTTTCAAGAGGTTCATGGTGTTGTTGGCCACGACAACTGTGGTGCTCATGCCTCCATAAGCTATTATGACGTCATCAACAACAAAGCAAACCTTCTTGTCATCATTGTCAGTGACACAGTTCTTAATTTGGCTTTTGAATTTGACGTACATGGAAGCGTTGACGATCGAAATGTCATCATCCCTCCTCCTGGACATCTTGAAACTGCTGTAATATTCCATCTGTTTGATTTTGTTGTTTGTTGTTGTAGTTGTAAAGGTTGTTGGTGGTGCTGCTGTTGTCTATGTTGTTGTTATTGTTGTCGATGTTGTTGATGTTAAACAAATAAGTTACAATAGTAATCACCAAAAAACTGACTTTGTGTGCGTGTATGTGTGCTTGTGTTTGAATTTTTATCGATGATAATGTCAGCTGCAACATAATAATGATCATTAGGTGAAATACAAACCTGATTTGAATAGGGCAGACTGACTTTGAGAAGAATCTCGTCCGGTTGCATGGATAGTTTTCTGTAGCCTGTAAAAAACTTTCCATCGAGAACTCTTCGCCTCGTTCCGTCCGTTGATGCGATGACCATCTCGGACCTGGCACTTACCAATATCGGCACCAAATCAGATATTGGACTGGCTGTCATCAGGTTTCCGCCGATCGACTGTTTAAGAAAAGGTATTCTGCAAACAATTGCTATGCCAGTAACAGAGCAGGTGAATGGGTGGATGATTAACAAATGGATAAATTAATGAATAAAAGATGGATGAATGAATGAATGGATGGATGGATGGATGAATGAATGAATGGATGGATGATAGATGGATGGATGGATGGATGGATGGATGGATGGATGGATGGATGGATGGATGGATGGATGGATGGATGGATGGATGGATGGATGGATGGATGGATGGATGGATGGATGGATGGATGGATGGATGGATGGATGGATGGATGGATGGATTACAATGACTTACAGCAACGTTTTTGATTTGTGGACCGGCAAACAATTTTAGCATTTTCATCATCTCGACAAACAGTCTCGTTCTCTCTCCTTAGGTTGTTTACAACGTTTATTTATGATAGAGTAAATTTGTGATGACATTTGTGGTGTTGTGTACATTTTTCATGCATCAATTTGATAGAGTTGTATCGGTCTTCAATGTGAGTTATTTATAGAATCTTTTTTTCATGGTCATCTTTTGAATATAATTTTTAATGTTTCTGACATTTTTATTAATGCTACCTGTGTTAACTTTCATTATATACTTATAATAGTACCTACTGTTACTTCTATCGTTATCATTATTATAATCGTAGTCATCCTTCTAATAATTATTTCTATAATAATTAACCACCTAACCAAAATTAATTGTTAACATACAATACCTGGCAGTGAATTAATTTTTTCATCAAGAAGTTTCTCCAAAGTGTCCAGAGTAACTGAAGCACCGATCCAGATTTTTCGGTTGTCATCATTTTCCTCACCAGTGGCCGCATGATCTGTCTCGTTGTTTCCATGTAGGTTGTTGGTTTCGTGGAAGGATTGTTCGTCTTGAATGCAGTTGAGCTCACTGATGTGCGTGCATGAGATGATCACTGGATACTCCATGTTTTTGTAACGAGTCTCAATGCCTTTTTTGAAACAGGAATTAGGGTACGAAATAGTATTATTGACATTCGCAGACTTCATTCGAAAAATTCATTTCGATTATATTTAAAAACGTGAATTTTCATAATTCCTGTGCATGCCACAGACCTATCTCCGTGTTCCCAATGACAAGTTTTGCTTCGGGATGTTTGGCCTTGAGCTGAAGAAGGTCAGACAGTTTTGTGGGTCGGTACCAAGAGACGTGCTTCGATTTGAAACACAGGAATTGAGAATCCAAGACTGAAGTTTCTTGCTGAAGTTTTTAAAAATAATTTGAAGTATCCTTTTAAATATGGTGGATTTGTGTGTCGGTGGAATGTAACTATCAATATGAATCACATCATACTTTTAAAAGCAATTAATCACTTGTAAAAATGAAGACTTTTTCAATTTTTGATCGCTACAGTTTTTCAACTGCAGTATTTTATTTTGTAGTATTTAAGTTAAAAGATATTGAATCAAATTGAAACTGGCTTTAAATTTTTATTTTATATCGTCCTATTACAATTACGTTTTCAACGCTAATGGCGACAGTGGAAAAACACAACACCACGATTAAATTGTATCTCCATGATTAATTAATTTCTGGACGGATTTCTGAGTTATTATTATTATTTATATTAATAATAATAATAATATGTTATTCACTCTATTAACATTTCTCAGAGTTATCGAGGTTTGTGACAGCAGGGTGTGAGTCTTTTAATATTTTAATCTTAATTTGTTTTAGTTTCGAAGTATCGTTCCAACGAAACTATCGGGAATCGCTTGGAATGTGTTATGTATAAAAATTTCGTTTGGAATGGATTATGGATTCGGACTTCAACATACAAACAACCAACCAACCATTAGCAAGTCTAATCCTTTAACATCAATCTTCCACGTCTTCCCACCATCCTTGATTGCATTTGATTCCTCCTCAACTCTTTCTTCATTCCTGCTGCGGCGCTTTACTTTATCTTCACTTCCGTTGCTGAGTTCATCACATTTGTCATCATTTTCATCATTACTTCCACTCAGTTCATTGCTGGCATCCTTCTTCTTGTTGTTGCTACCAGAGCAGCTGCTACTGCTGTTGCTGCTTCCATCATCCTCTTTTCCATGGTAACCTTCATCGCCTTCAACCTGACGTTCTTCATGCTAGGGTTGGTATTTGATAATTAACATTTATTCACTTATATTCGATAAAACCTTTAAGAACAATATTTTCTGATGATTAATAAATTGATATTCTTATTTTGATATTGATATTTTCTTAATAATTTATATTTGAAAACTGATGCAAAATAATTTTTTTAATTAATAAATTTTTCATATTTTTTTTTTGCTACTGCTTTCACATTTTAATGATCAACTGAACCGTTGGTTCGTTCTAAAGAAAGTTCATTGTAAATTAAAATTAATAATTTGATTGGACTGCTGAAAGAACTGCAACAAGAAGGGTGAAAAAGAAAGAAGGAAGGAAGGGAGGGAAGAAGAGAGGGAGGAAAAAAGGAAGGTGGTACTGACGTCGGTGGCGAATGTTGACGTGAAGCCCTGGACTATCGGTCTGTAGCCTGTGCATCGGCATAAGTTGCCTGCAATGAATGAATGAATTAATTAATGAATTAACTAATTTTATTAATTAGTGACTGAGTAAGTGAATAAATGATTTAATAAATTAATAAATAAATCAAACAAATATAAACGAAAAAATAAATTGACAAATTATAAATTTTTTAGTAGAATTATACAATCGTCGATGAGTTTTAAACGAGTTACATTGCAATATTATTTAAACGCTTATTGGATCCGCACCGATAAACTGACCGCAGTAACTTATTTAACAGTTTTTGTCATCATTTTCATCAACTAAACTTCGGCAAGTTTGATAAGCGGGAATTAGGACTTGACAACTCATTTTAAAGCAATTCAGTTACAACATCAATAAATGTCAAACAGCCGAACTAACCTTGAAAGGATTCTTCAATGTCACGGACACGTGGGCGGGGGTTGTTGCAAAGGAGGGTGTACATGGACATTATGAAGCCTGGAGTGCAGTAGCCACACTGTGAGCCGTGACTCGTGGCCATCACTTTCTGCATTGGTTGATGAGTGTGGTGGAATGAGATGCTGTCATCAGCAGCATGTGCTTGCGTACCATACCATAATTAATTGATGTTTAGTAATGAAGTGGTGTTAACTATATTGATGTTAACATGTTAAAGTGGTGTTAACTCTAATGACTTTAATGACATTAATATTACTAATGTCAAAAATTTCATAATTTTTTGTAGGACGTTTTATCATAAAAGATTTAACCAATAACACCAACATTGAACATCAGAAACGTCATTAACAACGATAGCATCATTAACATTAACAACAACATTAACATTGAAAACATCAACTTCAACAACAACATTAACAAAAAAACATCAACATTGACGACAAAACCCAGGATGTTAACAACAGCAAACATGAGCGAACATCCGCCCACCTGAACAGGATGCAGTTGTGTCCTGACGGAGCCAACACCTTCCACTGTCGTTATGACCGCAGCGTGCATGGAACACAAGGGAGCCAGGCATGAATTCACTGTCATGTGCCTAATTTATTACGTGCGCTTTGTACTGTCCTTTTACGAGTTGTTGTTTGGTTGTTGTTGTTGTAATGCGGTTGTTGTAATGTGGTTGTTGTAATGTGGTTGTTGTTGTGGTTGTTGTTTTGTGGTTGTTGTTGTGTTGTTGTGTGGTTGTTGTGTAGTTGTTGTGTAGTTGTTGTTGTTTGCATTGTTTGCTTTTATTTTATGTTATGTGTTGTTGTTTGCTCTGTTGGTTTGTTATATAAGTTTAAGCATATTAGAGTATGTAAACTTGTTTTAAATGATGAAAAAATTAAAATATATATATAGGGAGATATTTGTTGAATTATGCTATGCAGTAGTGATAGAGATTATGCATGTTTCTCTAATTTTATTTTTAATTTGTATATCACTATACTATTGATGTAACAGTAAATTTAACGAAAAATAATTTCGCAAAATTTAACGCAATAAAAAAGTTATATATTTTTTTCTTTAATGGAATATATTTTATATTTACTAATAATGGTAACTGAAAATTTTAAAAATGAAACAAATGATTGTAATGTCTGTCGTATTAAACTCTAGTGGTTAAGCCGAAATGTAATGCGATTCTGAGTTGTACAATATGTACAATGTACATGAACTACATTTATTTCAAAAAACACCGATAAATGATCAGATACAGAATCCACACACTAATGTAGTCTGTTTTTGTCTCAGATTGTTTGTTTGTTTGTGTTTGCGTGTGTGTGCATGTGTGTTTGTATGTGTGCGTGTGTGTTTGTATGTGTGTGTGTGTGCTGGTGTGTATGTAGTAGTGTGGTGTGTGTGTTAGTGAACGCTAGCATTACATTTTTAATTTTATATGCCATTGACATTTGAATGACAAAAGTTAAATGAATTCATTTTTAAAAAGTTCAAAAGTTAATTGTTCGAGACAGTTTAGCTGCTTATTATGGGCGATTTTTTATATATTCTGATCGAAATAAAAAAATATATGATTTTTAAACAGTACAAGTTTTTCAGTTTAAAAAAAATTCTAATTTCAGGAAAGCAAATGTCGTTAGAATTTTCAAGATCTCGAATAAGAGCAAAGTGATACGTGTGTTTATTTCAAAAAAAAAAGTGTTAAAGTACTTTGACCAAAAACAAAGTAATGCTCGTCTCAAGTTGCTATTCGAAAGTACTATATAATGCAAATTAAGTTTAAACAACCAGCGACCAAAGGTTTAATATTTTTGTTTACGAAATTGACTCTTAACATTTTTTTTACAGTTTCCCATCCTTCTTATCATCAACTCATCACTACATCTCAACACATCACTACATCAACACATCAACACAAATCATTGCAATACGAAAACATACCAAACAGCAAACAACAAAGCAACATTTCAATCACACCTCCACGCAATATTTCAAATATCTTTGAAATACTATACAACAAAACAAATTTATGATATAATAATCTCATAATGTCAGAATGGACATGGTACAGTTTGACGGCAGATCAAGGACAGGAACTTTACAATGTTTTTTGATTCTCTGTAAAATTTGTGTGCTCCTAATTTCATTAATTTATTTCTGAAAAGTTGTTTGCACTGAAGTAAAGTGGGGAAGTTTATGAAATAAAGCATATGACTTCGGCCAAGGCAATTTGAATTTTTTTGGATTTGAACGAGATAACGTCCATTAATTATACTTACATGAGGTCACCGATCTTTAATCTCTCCCGCTAAAGACAGTTATAACAAACTTATTCCGTAGGGGAATGTATGTCAATTTTAAACACATGAAATGAACATGGGAACAAACGTTGGAAAAACTTTGCAAGCAGGCAGGATCATCTTGAAGGAGGCAAGTGGTCCCACATGAAATCCATCATGTAAGCAAGTGTTCGACAACAGGTAATTTTTGTTATCAATGAGAAAATTTTAAGCGGGAATTGTATTTTGGAATAAAAAACGTAGCATAAAATTAAGCTTACAATTACCAGTTATGAATAATTTATTTGTGTCTGGTGAAGGTATGGGTCAAAGAGTGAAATAGTTCTTATCATCTACGTAAACCATTTTTTAGGAGTTTCTACAAAGAAGCAAGCACTCACTTTGGCACGTCGTTGACAATTTTTGTGACGAGGACGGTACAGGCTCCACACCCTCCTTCCCCGCATCCATACTTCGTCCCTTTCAGGTTTACTGCAATTAATCAGCAAGCGATAATAAATTTCAGCCATAATATTTTGTCGGTATCTTAGATAAGTAAATAAATTAATATCTAGATTTTTTATATTCATTTAATTTGATTGCACCTAGAATTGATATAGAGCAAGGTATTAGCATGGTTGGCACGTTAGCTCAGTCGATAGAGAATCTGTCACGCGCTATTGTTGTGCAATGACCTGGTTCGAATACCGTCTGTCCAAAACTCAAAGACTATCACACGGCATGTGTGCGCACAAAATATGCGTGTGCGTCGTGCGGAGGCTTTGGTGGCTAAAAATTTTAATCACACTTATGAGGGGACATGTGAGAGGGCCTGTGTGTGCAAAACAGAAATAAAAAACAATCAATTGCAACCGGCTACAAAGAATTAATTCAGTAACAACAAAAATCAGTTATATGGGTTTCTTCATCTCAAATATTGCAAACCATCTGACATAAACTACATAATATCTCCAAGCATTACTAATTTATTTATTTATGCAAATGAACTTACAGTGGTCCCTTAGATATGTCAACAGCGTAAGTTCTGGGTCAGGCCTCGTCACGGTGACCTTCTGACCGTTCACGTAAAACACCAGGGTATCTTCCATTACGTTATATTTTATTATAATTGTTTGACCAGTGGTGCGAAAATTAAAAGAAATATTTCAAATTTATATCCTGCTTATTTTAAACAAGTTTCTTTATACCTGCTTTTAAATAAACGATATGTATATATATATGTATATATATATATATATGTATATATAAATATGTATATATATATATATTTATATATATATATTCATGTGTGTGCATGCGTGCACACCCATATATATATATATATATAATATATATATATACATATATTTATATATGAATACATATATCCATCCATTATAATATTACCGTTGAAAAGATGAACTTTATGTAATTTCATAGGAACTTTGTACTTTTTGAAAGAAATGATGTCAAATTCGTTTCAAGCCTACTAGAAAACAGACGGATTTGTTTGTATCGCGTACACACAGAACATGCAGTTGACGAATTAAAAATAAGTTTGACCTGTTAATTGCGTAACATCAACATGACATGTGCTGTACGTGTTGTGCCTACACATGTGACACGACGCACATCGCATCTCTCAAAATTATTACATCGTTCATTAGCGGTTGACTTTCTTTCGCGGTATTAAACTAACTCAATCAATCTAAATTGATACACGTATTAAGTAATGGTAAGAGATAGTCTTTTGCGGTAGACCAAAGAAATCAACCAATATTAAAAACTGAACGGATTAGATACGATAATAATAATATAACGTGAAACAGCTACAAAAGAAAACACACTTGAACGTTAAAGAAAATGAAAATATGTAATGAAATTTCTAAAGAATTTTTTAAATGATATAAAATTAGAACTGTTTATAACATTCAAGGATAATGTTTCATCCCATATTTCGGGACTATTACGAAAATAAAAAATACTTGATTGAATCAATTCTGACCTAACTGCGAATATTATGTATAGAAATCGTTGTTTTCACGGTGCAAGCTATAAATATTTTATTTACAAATATAACGTTTAGAGCAGCAGTTCTCAACCTGTGGTCTGCGCGGACATTTTGCCTGGTGGTCTGCGAGCAAAGTGTGAAATGCAAATATTTTCAATAACAATTTTAATACACCTATATTCATGTGTGGTAACTGTAGTTCTCTAAGTCTAATAGTTATACTAAGAACTATGTTATACTAACTATGTGTAGCTGTCGCTTCATTATAGGAAATAATAATTATATTTATATAAATTTCTAGTGTGCCAGTAGTAAAATTTTCAGTAGTTGCCCGCAGCTGAGACACACATTTTTTAAGGGGTCCTTGAATCTCAAAAGGTTGAGAACTGCTGATTTAGAGAGAAAGGTGGCAATAAATTGTGTAAAAATTTAAATATGAAGAGTTAACTAAAAAAATATTTGGCTGTTTGATGGTTAAAAATACATTCGATGAGTGATTTAAATGACACCTGAAATGTGGATTGTACGGTATTTTTTATAAACCATTTTGCATATTAAAACCGCATTAATAATGCATGAAAAACTATCGCCATACCCTAGATTATGTTACAATATGTTAAGTGTGGGAATATGAGACTGTCTTCCTTATAGCTGTAGTACGCAGGCTAATTATTATCAATAGATTATATCAAAATTCATCCAATGCCATTTTAAACGTGTTGAGAGACGGAAAGCTAACCACACCACTCGGAAGATTATTCTATACATCCACCACTTTTTCTGTGACACAAAACTTCCTGATGTCATAGCGAGATCTGTGACCGACAAGTTTGTAGTTATTGCATCTAGTTTTGCTGAACTGGCTCAGCTCGAGATCAGGTGAAACCTCCGCATCATACATGCCGTGCAATATTTTGTATACTTCTACCATATCTCCTCCTTATCTACGATATTTTAATGTTGGCTGTTAATTTTAAAAACTTTCGAAACTTCATTAGCTTCCTTTTTAAGATAAATTTCAACCTAATTTTGAAAATCTTATTTTATTTTGATTATTTTAATAGTTTTTTGTAAAAATAATTTTATACGCCATTGCAACAGTCTGAAATTAAAAGGCGATTGTCGCGTGAAATTGTTAAAACATTGTGCAAAAAATCAAAAATTACATGTAAATTAGTTGACGGTGGTAAGGAAAGTCTCAAAAAAATATTTGTGCGCAATAAAAATTTTGATTGAATCAAAAAAAAGTTTCAATGAAGGTGTTTACATATCATAAATGTTGAAAATTAATTGTTATGACACTTGAAAATTTTCCCCAGTGCACTAGAATGGCAACTGAAAATTAAATTTCGCAATAAACAAGTACTTGAACCCGAGAGGGGCAAGTGATCCTAATATAATTTTTATGGGTAATATTGAAGAAGTATTTATGAGCAGTGCGGTGTGATAAAAAAATAATTTGTATTTCATTTTCAAAACGTTGGAAATTTTATCCTTAACAGATTGAACTAATATCTGACAGTGTGCAGCGTTGGAGTGAGAATGGAAATGATGAAAATTGGCTCAAGCGAATTTACTTTAGAAGTTTACTCAATGATCTGTGATTGAAGACGCGTCAGGTTCCAGACGAGTAGGCACCTTAGCATTGGGTTGTCGTTATAAGATATGCTTTCCCTCACGTGCTTTCATATTCACGTACGTTGAATCTAACCAGGTCTGAACTTTGCGAATAACGATGATGTGTTTCGATAATATTCCAATAAATTAATATGTTATTAAGTAGAAGACTATCGAATAAATTTTTATTAAAAACTGTAAGATATTTTTAGACAGAAATAATTCAAAGTTATCTAAACACCTGAACTGCACGGAAAATAAACAATGGACCATAAAATCGAAATGTGAAATTTAAATATGGCGTAAATGTGTCATTCATTGTTGAATTAATTCTTTGTTATGCAACTTAAATGTTCGAATAGCTAGCTACCAACGAAGAAAGTGTAGTGATGTTTGTGAATGTGGTCTTATTATGATGTTGCGATAAATAATTGAGTTTTTGATTCGAAATAAAACTTTGGACCATTGGTGATATGAATATTAACGTTGATTTGTTTGACGATGGGTTGACATCGACGATTTCATTGGATTGATGTGGTGTTGTCGGTGTTGTAGGGTGGACGTTGTTCATGTTTGTTGGCTGATGCTAACGCTGTTGTTATATGCATATGATGATGATGGATTGTTGCTTAGACTGACAGGCACCAACGATTCCTTGCTATCACAATTTCTTTACTATATCTTCCGGATTGTAACAGATGTTTACGTGGGTTTTTTAAAACCAATGCCAGAGAGAAAACATTTAAGATGATTAATTATTACTATTGAGTTGATTTTTAATGTTGGAAATCATATTTGGACACAAAAACAGCTTCATTTGTTCCTCCGAATCTCTTCAAATAAGTCTGGATGAAAGAAATTTATATTTGTTTAAACATTAAAAATGTAGTTTGCCTAAAATATATCGATTATGGGTATTTTGAATAAATTCAACTAGAAACTTCAAAACTTAACAACTGTCACATTTGCTTATTTAACAGCAGATAAAAACATAAGGCAACAAAAGAAAGCACATTATAACACATAACAACACACAACAACACAATGGAACACCACAGTAGAACACATTGTGAAAACATGAGATGCACAACCCACCACTGGTTTTGTTACTCTTGTTGGAGGACTGATGATAAGGTTCCTGGAACTATCATCGAAGAAGTATCCATCATCATATCTCGTGTTGTAAGAAGGGTAGTTGGGTGGACTCTTCTGGGATTCAATAGTGGCCGGCTGGCTAACTTGGTTGTAGTTGCTGTACAGGAAGTTTTGTGTGTTGTGAGGTGTGTGGCGTGCGTCATTAACACTGGGAGTATGCTGTTTTCTTCGGAACATTTGCTTGTAGTAGTTGAAATTGTCGGTTGAATGTTTAGCAATTTGATATTGTTTGATGGATTGGATGGATTGTTTGAGGGATTGTTGAGAGTGATGATGATCGGTGTATGGATATAGTTCCTCGTCATCATCATATCCAACATGCAATGATGGTGTGTGCGTGTATAAGCTGTACGAATCGGCAGCACCAATATTTGAGTTGACGTCACTGCTGGTGGCAATGTTGATGAAGCGATCACCGGTGGTATGAAGAGTGTCGTGATGAGCACCAACTGCTGGCGGGTAGGCAGGTGCAGACACTTCAGGAAGACTGGGCTGGATGACTGCATGACGAAAATACGGCGAAAACTTTCTTAAAGGATGCAAGGAATCAGTTATAAGGGGAGGAGGCGGACGAAGTTTGGGAGATGACACGGATGGGTAGTAAGGTGATTGGTGGTGAGGAAAATAATTAGTTGAATGGTGTCTACGTGCGGTTAATTTTAATAAGTTGAAATCAGCATCATCGCTATCTTCGTCAACTGCAGATCCAATAATTTTGTGAGAACGAGATGGCGACAGTTGTGGAGGTGTATATAACTGCTGCTGTGAAAGAGATTGGCGAGATTGAAATAAAGGGGGCCAGGATGGGGACAGTTCTTCAGCCCTGGAAGCCTGTGTGCAACATGGGTTAAGTTAATGCGGTGAATTGTTTATAATTTCTGATGCGAGGTAAAATCATTGCTGTTTGTTTAAGAAAAAATTTTATAAACTCTTAAATAAACATCATTTTAACATTGGTTTGTAAAGATTTGATTATAAAATTTCAAAAAGTTAAAAAATAATGAAAAAAAAATTTTTAACAATTTCTCTTTGATAATTGCAGAAAAAGTTTACTAACGGATAATGATCTTGCATCAGTTTTGGGGCTGCAAATTTTGCTGATACGACCTCTGTTGTCCAGTGCTCTTGTGATCAAATTCAGAGACTCCACGTTGCTTTTTGGATGAGGAGGAGGTGAACAGCTGTAATACTCCAAAAAATGAATGGGACTGGGCTTGTGGAAAAAAAACTTTCCGGGATAAACAAAATTTGAGATGTGTTGATGTGGTTTGTATTTGTTGGTATTCGAATAACAAGTGTCCTCCTGATAGTTGTAAAATGTCTTTGGTGGTTGGATCAAATATCTATCGAAAGCTCTCTTGGGAGTGTAACTTTGATTCTCGGTCGCTGGATGAAATTTATTTGAAGATGTGTAAGATGTGGTGTGAAATATTGGCGATGAAGATAATTCGAGATCGTAAAATCTTGGCTGGTGGCATGATAGGGATCTTTTGAAACTTGACTGAAACGATTTGCTGGGTAGAACAGGTCTTGGTTCTACAGAAAACGATCGAGTATATTTGTTTCTTTGAGACATGTGCGGTAAATCAAATTTGTTTATTTGTTCCAAGTAGTTGTTATAGTTGTGAGTATGCACATTACCGCAATGAAGTTTGTTGCTGTCAGAATACCTGATCTCATTTATGTAAGGCCCACTAGCGATATTGTTCTTTCCAGAATATGCAACAAATTTGTTTGTACAACCAGCATTGTATCCTCCTCCTCTTCCCCACCTGCAAACTTCACCGTCGTAATTTATTAAACTCTTCAAATCTCCTAAATCCTTGTGGGCATCGTTCAACTTGGACCTCACCAACTCTTCGATCATCTCTCAGCTTTTTAAATAACAAATTTAACACCTGGCGAATGAAATGCTATTTCGGCATTGGTTGATTTGTGTGAATGTTCAAATCTAAAACGTAACAAATATAAATTTTAAAAATTATTCAAGTTTTATTGTTAAAATAAATGTCATAAATAAAAATATTTTTCCAGCAATATATTCATCAAAGCAATCGTTAAAAAAAACTTTTAGAATATTTGAATTTTTTTTTGAAGATTTCAAAGCACAAAATGTTTACATTACATATAAGATATTATTACTTACATTAACAATAAAAACAAATAAACTGGTGATAATAATAGGTTAACGTTGCACACCAAAAACTTACCGCACAAAGCTTCACTCACAATCATATTCTATCATCCATGCATATTATCTCAGTTAAGCACGCTTCGGCATTCACAAAAAGCAAAACATGTGCAAGTATATAGATTCAATCATCTCAATATAAACTATGCATACATATATCGTATACACACACATACATACGTAGCAAAGAATTATATTAATGTTTATAGGTGGAAAAGTATTTTAAAAGTCGTTGCTCGTATCATTGCTGCATAACTCGGCAACATATGAGCGAGGTGAAAAATGCTGATCGAGTTGTGGTTAATGTTGTTTACTGTGTTTCTGTTGTCCTTCATGCTGTTGTTGTTTTGTTGTTGTTTTTGATGTTCTGTTTTTGTTTTTATGTTTCTTTAGTTGTTTCTCTTGTTTATTTTGTTGTTTATTATCTTCTTTAAGTTATTGCTCGCATTGATATTTTTATGTAGGCAAATTAATATTTACCTTAATAATTTTGTCGATTTCGGTGGATCGCGTTACGTACCTATTTGTAGAATGTTACTTGCTATTTATGTAAATTCTTGACATTTGTTAAAAATACAAAATTATTTCAAATGTTTATCGTGAGGTTTGTGGTTTTTCTCATGCTACGATAATAATTAAATATTTATATCTTCATGTTATTGATGCCTATTGAATTATTCAGAAATTGTAAAAATAATTACAGAGCAAAGTTTATAAATTTACGAAGAGAACACACAAATATTTCTAAATATTTAATGTCTTTATGATAAAAACACTCTTAAAGAAATTCGTGCGGCAAGAGCCATCAGTCATCTTTTGGAGCAGCCTGTATAATTAGTAGGAGATTTTCAAAACGCAGAATATGTGCGGTGCAGTTAGGTGAGCATAGGAACAAAAATTTTTAGAAAATTCATAAGATCTCTAGAGAATAGATAAAACAAAACAAAACTTTTGAAATGTAAACTCTAGCAAGTCGGGAACTACCAGTGTGTCGGAGTTGGATGAAAAATATTCGACTCCGCTCCGGTCCCTCAAAAAATCCGATTCCAACTCCGGCAAAAATATCTGACTCCGAAACTCTGGGAACTACAATAGAAAAATCTGGAACGAAGAACTTAAATGTAAAACTTGAGCTAAGATTTGAAATGAATTAATTTGTTAAAAATTAACTTTACATCAGCAATCTTTTTACACAAATTATTCGGATGGACGCATATTTACGACTTAAAAAACCACGTGGTTTATGCGTAAATAACATCAATCTGGTTAAAATATAAATGAAATATACTAAGATGCTCTTTTATCAAGATAACTTTATTGAGTTATTAGGCTCAAAAACAAAAAACAAGCCTGTCCTAACGTAATGTTGACCATTTTGACTTTTTGTACAAATTCGGTAAACAAATTTTACTAAAATTGTTTGTTATTTAAATGAAATTAATTCTCAGTTGATTTTGTTGCTGATGATGTTGCTGTTGTTGTTGTTGCCTCTGTAAAATTTTGTACAAAAATTGTGCAACAGCAAGAGCGTTTATCATCAACCAGTTGTCGAATATTTGTGACGGTTACAACAATACAATCCAGTCCCAAAAATAATGAATCCAATGAAAGGGAATAACGGAGAGGCTACTTAAAATAATGACAACATAACAACAATGCGTGAGTTGTTGTCAGGCTAGTTTTTTGTTGAGGTAGTACCTATGTTTCAATTTTGTTGCTGCTTTTAATTTTATTTTGCATTCTGCTAAGTGTGGAGGTGTTGATTCGTTTTTTTCTATTTGTCATTGCGTGATTTGAAGTAATTAATTAGAATATGTTGTTGTTGAATGCCCTTTAAATGTTCTCTCTGAAAATTTGTTGATGTTCGAATGACATGACACATGACAATTAAGCAGGCAGATTTTACTGCAGCACAACCAGACTTCGAATAATCAACGTTCACATAAGAACCAACAATCCAAACACAAACTTTAAAGTTTTAATAATAAAAACGAAGAAGTTGCATAAAAATCATTAATGATGAAAATCTTAAAAACTACGATGGAACTTTACTTACAAAAATCAAAATTTGAGATTTTAACAACAAAATCGGTAACAAAAATAAAAATATCAACAAAAATAACATCAACAAAAACAACATCAAAAAAAACATCAACAAAAACAATATCAACAAAAACAATAACAATAAAAACAACAACAACAAAAAACAACATCAACAAAAACAACAAAACCAAACTGCCAGCAAATGCCGTGAACTACACAAAACTAACATTATCTTTTCACAATAACTTGTTGAGCGCTACATAAAGCACGGCAAATAATTGTACTTAACCGATCAAGAAGTCTCTTAATAAACCATGCAAATACACATCAACACGTACACAGAGCCACAAAAGCATGCACACACATTAGCACAAAAATAAACGAGCAGAGGTAAACACGCAACTACACACACACACACACACACACACACACACACACACACACACACACACACACACACACACACACACACATATATATATATATATATATATATATATATATATATATACACATGCACACATACATGCATATGTGCAATTACACACATACCAACATTATACCATTATAATAAATCTTTAATAATATATACAGGCAGACGTCATCATGATTGAAACTCAGGTTACAAGTATAGTTTCGGAGAATAAATGATTGTGTCCAGTCAGGGGCGGACTAAAGCCTAGGCTGACTAGGCAATTGCCTAGGGCCCGTAATTTTTGGGGGCCCGAAAATTCGATTTTAACTTTTTTTTAATTTTTATAATTATATTTTTATGTTTTTTTTGGTTTTAATAGAAATGCTAAACATTAACATTGAACAAATCTCAAATTCTAAATTTAACAAGAAAGCGCAATGAAACCATTTTGAAAAATCGGCAAAAATGAATATCGAATATTCTTAAAATTGCTTTGCAAAATATTTTTTGGATTCATTTTCTGGAATTCCTACAAAAAAATGTGAGTTTTTATAAAAGTATTAAATTATTCACTTTTCAGTTTTTATAATTAAATGCTCATTGGTTCTTTGTTGCTGGAAGAAATAATGAACATTGAACTAATCTCGTGTTATAAATTTGAAAAAAGCCCGTTTTCTGCCATTTTGAAAAATCGTCAAAGTTGAATATCGGTCATTTATAAAATTGCTTTGTCAATAGATTTTGATTTGTTTAGTTTTTAGTTTTGGATTGATAGTTAATAATTTCTGGAATTCGTTAATTTAAATTGTAAGTTTTGTGGAAATATTACATTACATTATTCAATTGATACTGATATCTGAAGATTACTCACAAGAAGGGCTTTATAAATCAGTAATACTACAAATTGTGATTTTATTATAATTGAGTAAAAATAATGTTAATTGAGTTTTTTATTTTTAGTACGTGGTCTTTAATTTATAATGAGTTCCTATAAGCATTTAAGTGGAAGTGAAAAAAGAAAACGAAAAGCAGATCGAGATAAAGTTGCAGAACAAATGAAAGGATCGTTAAACAAATTTTTAATTGTGGAGGACGAAAAATCACAACAATCATCATCATTTTTACAAATTTTACCTGCTCAAACTCCAGAAGCATCACACGAATGTGAATCTATTCAGCAGAAATATCAGCGGGAAAAACTGAGTAATTCCGATTGTGAAGATGAAGCAAAAGAAGATATATATATTAAATCATCTGAAAGTAATGATGAAACTGAGAGTTTTGTAAACGACATTGGTTTATGGCCAGAATACCTAACAGACGCCATGCTAGAGTATTATGTCAAATCCACCAAAATCGATAAATGGATCTCTAGAATCATCTTCCATTCGATGCAACGAAGGGTCAAAACAATTCACAAGAAAATTAACTATTGCTTCTTTCTTCAGAACAATTAATAGTGAAGAAAAAGTTAAAAGAGATTGGCTGGCTTATACTCAAACCAACAACTTATTGTACTGTTACGTCTGTAAATTATTTTCCAAGCAAACAACACTAATGGCAAAAGGAACGAATGATTTGAAAAATATCCATAAAAAATTGTCAGAGCATGAAAACTCCAGCGACCACATTAACTCAATTTTAATTTATATTAAAAGATCTAAAATTACTGGGTGTATTGATACTGAATTGGAAAAACAAATTATGAATGAAAAAAAATACTGGAGGGAGGTACTTAAACGTGTGGTAGCAACAATCAAATTTATTTCTTCATACTCTTTAGCATTTCGTGGTAAAAATGAAGTTCTTTTTAGTGAAAATAATGGTAATTATATAGGTGCTTTAGAATATTTATCCGAGTTTGATCCATTTTTGCGTGAACACATGAAAAGATATGCAAATTGCGGCACCGGAACTATAAGTTATTTGTCATCTACCATATGTGATGAATTTATTTTGATTATATCGAAAGATTTGCAACTCACGATACTGAACGAAATAAAGGAAGCTAAATTTTATTCTCTAATTATTGATTCAACCCCTGATGTATCTCATGTAGATCAGCTTACAGTTATTATTCGGTACGTTCTTCCAAGTGGTATAAAAAAAAGATTTTTGGAATTTCTACCTATATTTTCTCATACTTGTGATAACTTGGAAAAAGTTATTTTAGAATTTTTAAATAGCATTGATTTAGACATCACTAATTGTCGAGAACAAAGTTATGATAACGCATTTAATATGTCAGGTAAATATAAGGGACTCCAATCCAGAATAAAACAACATATTTTTTCTGATCATTTCATACCATGCTCAAATCATTCATTAAATTTAATTTTGTAAGAGCAAGCACTTGAATATTAAACCTGTTTGTGACACCAGATGGTCAGTTCGTTCCGATGCTGTGAAAGCCTTGAAGGAAAATTATGACGAAATTAAACATTGCTTACGCCATTTTTCCTCAAACAATGATGAGAAACCATTAACAAGATCAGAAGCTGCCGATTTATACAAAAAACTTGATACATTTAAGTATGTACTGTTACTTACTATATGGGAAAATTTTTTAGAAAGAATAGATGCTTCAAACAAGACTCTTCAGCAAAAAGACGACTCCTTAAATACAGCAGTTCTAATTTATGATTCGCTAATAGATTTCATACAAACTGTTAGAGACGATTTTGATCATTTAGAAAAAGAAGCAGAAAAAGTTAAAGATATTGCATATATTAATGATAAAAAGCGACAGAAAATACGAAAACTATTTCATGATGAAACTCCAGAACTTGAAATAAGACTCAGTGGCAAAGAACATTTTAAAGTGAATATTTTTTTTGTTGTATGCGATTCTTTAATTAGCAACATTAAGAAAAGATGTGAAGCATACAAAACTATTAATAATAAATTTAAAACAATTTTTATGACAGTGATATCAATGACTCTTCATTACAGGAATTAAAATGTTATGAACAAGATTTAAACCTAGAAGAACTGAAAAACGAAGTAGTTCAATTTAAGACTTTTATAAGTAAAGAAAATATTATTTCGCCTTCGCCAGTATCCATGTGGTCATTTATTCAGGAATTTTAGTAAAATTTGTTTACCGAATTATTTATTCATTTATCCAACATTTCCTAATTTAAATGTAATTCTGAGAATTTATTTAACCCTTCCGGTAAGCAATGCAAGTGGTGAAAGATCATTTTCAGTAATGGGTAGAATAAAGAATTTTTTAAGATCCACGTTGGGCCAACAAAAATTAAATAGCTTATCATTACTTTATATAGAAAAAGAGTCGTTGAATAATTCTATTAACTATGACAAACTAATTGACGAGTTTGCAGAACTGAAAGTGAGAAAAAAGGCAATTATATAGATATATCAGTCTTGGTGTATTTATATTACTGTTTTAATAAATTACGTTTATGTTTGCTTTTTTTTAATAAATGATGTTTTTTTAATTTGTGTACATTTTTTTAAAATTTTGGTAACTGATTTACATACCATATTCATTAAAACCAAACTATCGAACGTAAAGTATAAGAACGTATTGTCATTACTGAAAAATAGGCCCGGAATTCCAATGTTGCCTAGGGCCCGCTTTAGGCTTAGTTTGCCACTGTGTCCAGTTTGGTTTTTTTTTATTTTTTTAGACTGTGTTTCTGAAATCAGATCAAACAATCTGTTTTAAACGTTCTTGTTGAAAAGATTTCGACAATTTAATATTTCGTCTACGAAAGAGACCTCAGCTTTGATGATGGGGAATAATGGTCAACATGATGGTCAGTCAGATCATTGGAAGATTCTTTTTTTACTTTCAATTTCAAAGTAAATGGCGCCGGTTCAACTTCTTTTGCAGATGCTAATTTTTAAAAAAATGAAAATGCAGAAAATAAAAATGCCAACATAAGCACACACGCATAAATGCATTCCACCTACATACATACATTCAATGGCGAACGAACTCATATATGCGGGACTGTACATTCATTTAATTATTTAAATACAATTATGTAACCAAAAGCAGGCACACATGAACACACACATAAACACACACACCAACTCGTTTTCAAACTGAGACACACGCACGCACATACTCACACAAACACACATGCACACGCATACGTGCAAGCAGTTAGTCGATATATCATGGAGGAAATTTAGCGAGTCAGCATATAATGATCACCTGGCGATTGAAAAAGAAATCATGAATCTTATTTAATGACCATCAAAGTATTGTCACACACACTCACATACGTACGTGTATTGCACATTCATACGCACACATTCGCACGCACACATTCTCACGCACACAGTCACACGCACACAGTCATCCGTACGCATTCAAAGTCGTAGGATTGGCTGCTCAGTTGTTAGTAGTTCTTTCTAGTTGCTGGTTCTACGTTCATTGCACATAACACTGGCGCTATTTCTTCCAGTGTTCTTCAGGAGTTATCGCTAATTATATTATTTTGGATTTGTTTTTTGATGAAGTGTTGATTTATACATTTTTACAGATCACAAATTTAGGAATAATAAATATGTAATAACTAGACTGATTACTTATATATTAAACTGCTGTCACATTCATCAGCTATCCACACGCAACGACAACTTGCAGAACTGGATGTTAATGAAGCTGTTTGTATTAGTTGCATTGTGCTAGGATAAAGGTTGCAAGTTATTAGTGTTGATGTTCTTCTGGTTAATGTTCATGTAGTTGATGTTATGTTTGTGTTTTATATCGATGATGCTAACACGCTTGTTTATAATGTTGTCAATGGCTGGCTGTTGATTTCTAAGTGGCTGGTTACGATTTTGCTGCTGATGTGCTTGCTATTTCTTGAAAATTATATTCATTTTGAAAAGAACAAACAGCGCATAGCAGCTAACAACAAAAAGAAAATGGTGCAGACAGTTAGTAAAGATGCAGATGACAACATCATTGTAGATTGTGCAACGGTGAAGATGATGACGTCATCATCAACGGTGATAATGATGAAGATTATGATGTCAGTACGAATGAGATGATGATGTATGTATGGCATTGTAATTGTTCCACTACATAGCTTTAAGCCATGTCAATTGTATTGTCGTTGTCGTCGTCATCATCGAAATCAACAATTCTTATTTGATATTGTTGCTGCTGATGTTGCTGTTGTTGTTGTTTGTTGTTGCTGCTGTTGTTGTTGCCTCTGCAAAATTTTGTAGAAAAATGATACAACAGCAAGAGCGCTAATCATCAACCATGTGTCGTTGTTCTTTTTGTTACTGTCGTAGTGTAGTTGTTGTAGTTGTTATACATAGATGTTGTTTAGAGGTTGAAATATTGAGTTGTTCACGTTAAAAAGTTGACAAGCTAAACATCGGTCTTAATGTTGTTGCATCATGTCGTTTGACTGTTGCCGTGTTTTGCTGGTTTGCATCGAATAAACTTTGCACTGATTTATTATAAATAAATAAATAATTAACAAACAGCTGGTTACCGAAAACTTGGAACTTTAGTTAAATCTATTGTTGAGATTGTTGAGATTGGATTCGCGATTTGGAATTGCAGGCCTCACAGCAAATTGTTTCTTGAAAGGAGTGCATAATTTACTGTTTAGGGCCATTAAATAATTATGTCACGTTTTTTATGCCATTTTTAACTCCTCCCCCTCCCTGTCACACCCTGTCACGCTCAGCTGACCCCCACAATAATTGTGTCACACCTGACCACCCTTCATTCTACGACCTATAATCTATTATTAATACATTATAGATGACATCATGACCTAAGTACTAAGTTTTAAATCAGAATAAAATGTCTCGCAGCGATCCAGTTCATGTTCATGGCTAATTCTACAGTTCTGTTCACACTGTTGCCAGATGTTGCTCCGTTGTAGCCAATGAAATGTGTGTACCATTGCCAGCATTGTCTACGTTCAATTAGGTACACAAAGCAATTATGTGTTTTATTTTCTGTTGCTTAATATTAAAATTGAACAGTAAACGTCAGAAACTTGAAAATTGCGATAGAATAAATATGTCTACAATATTAAAACATTGGTGAGGATATTCACCATTAGTGATGGTCCACGCACATCACCTAACATTGATGGGTCTCTCAACCAATGTCAATAGAGCCTGACATTGATGATGCAGGTAAATTTTACATTACAATAACTTCTAGAAGGGGGGCATGTCTACCAGAGGCTGATATGGTTTATCATGGGACCAAATTTTAATTTGAATATGAAGCCTTTCCAGGATAAATACAATCAGATGCCATTAGACAGTTAGACCCATGAAAAGTCTATGCAAGATAGCAACAAAATATACTATAAACACTGAGTGATGTGTATAGCCGCACAAAAATACCAGGAAAACTTACCGACAACATCCAGAAATTCTTCATCAATCCATTCAGCAACTTCGATGCACTAGTCGTAGGCTATTATTGCCATCAACTCTCTTT